AATATTGAATTTAAATTAAATTGAAAGGCTTTTTTGAGGGGTTTAAATTACATAGAATCGTTTAAAAAATAATTTAAATATTTTTTCCTTCAATAATTATTTACTACCTCCAAAACTTCCATTATTAACCGATTTTGCCCTTCTTCGTTCAAGTACTTCTTCTATAGCATTATCTTTATTTATACTTCTTTGGAGAGCACTAATCCAAGAATGCATTTCTTCATGTCCTGGTGCTGCCATTCTATAAGCGGTGTGTTGCCCTCCTCCCTCGATTAAACGACCTTTAAATTTTTAAGAATTTTAATTTTGATCATAATTTCCATAAGAAGGTATTCAAAAGTAATTTTTCAGTTATAAAAAATTGAAAGATGGGCTGTTACTCATTTCCTTTTCATGGAAAGAATTTTCCTTCCAATTTCAGAATTTTTAATTTTCAAAAAATCTTTTCCAACAAACCTTCAGAATTAGTTTTGTGTGCCTTAACAATCTCAGAATTTGGAGAATATAATTCAAAAGTGTGCGGCTTCTTACTTGAAGAAAAGGAATCAACATCCTTATATCCAACCATTCTCACACAAATACCTTCCAATGGAATTATTCCCTTAGGTTCTCGACTCTAAAAATATTTTCTTTTATTTTTTAAATTATTCTATTATTTTTAAACTTACATTTGGAAATTCAAAGTAATATAAACATTTATTTGAAAGAACAAACCATCTTTGATTCCAAGTCCAGTGATTACTACCTAGAAAAATATTGTCTTAAACTGAATTATTTTTTGTACTAGTTTTTTGTATACATTACAAAGGGCGTATCCAGGGAGGCTTCTGGGCCTGAAATGGGGAAAATGAAAAAACTTTAGGAGAGAAATCCCCCCTCCCCCTTAAATTGTCCTCCTGGCTACGCCCTTGTAAATTACAACACTTGACACTTATTTGAGATTTGAATTTAATGTTTACTTTCTTTTCAACAAGATTGGCATCAAAATTATCACTCATTCATTGATATTTATGTAGGAAAGGTAAAATTATGAGATTAAATAGGGGGAGGGATCGTATATGAAAATAGGAGGTATGATTTAAACTGTCCCCTATTTTAGACCAAAACCAATTTCCAAATTCAAAAAAAAATTAAAAAACCTTGTTTGTGTAGCCATCCCTGTTTTTCAGCCATTCTAAATAAACGAGAAGAATTGTAATTTAAATGGTTATCAATTTGATGATCTTTTGGGAATTTAAAAGGTTCTTCACGTATTGAATTATAAATTTGCTTAAAATGAAATATTAAAAAAATAAATTATAAAAAACAAACAATAATTAAATCTCGAGAAACATTTAAAGAATTTGTTATATTTAGAAAATCATCAAAACTCATTCTTTCTTTGACACTTGGATTGTAAAGTGAAGTGTTTAACATAATTGTTGCAAAACAGAGAGTATAACAAGTATCTAAAAATAACTTTAAATAACTAATTATTTATAGAGAATGAGGGAAGTAAGGCTGTTAGAATTATATTTCGAAATTAAAATTTCAGCAAGGCTCACTTAGCGAGCTTTTCAAAGAAAATAATAATTAGGCTTTGCTATACATCGATAACTAAATTTGAGCAAGTCTGAACTTTCCCTCTTTCCAAATTTCTTTTTTTGCCTATGGCTAGTGAATTAATCAGAGTTAAATTTGGGCAACATATGTATGTTAAAAATTAACAGAAAATTGATCTTAAATCCCCTCTTCATTAAGTATTAAAGGAAGGAATTAAAGAAAGGTAAAAAAATTCCCCAACCAACTTTTCAAAAAATATTTTCTAACCAGAATGATCAAAGATTGAAGGATTTTGTTCACAAAAACGAATAGCAAAACGTTCCATTATTCTATCAATTTTTTGTGCTTCTCCAGGCAATCGAAAAGAAGAGAGAAAGTTACGCATTGCTTGAACCAACATTAATCCCTCAAAATTTTGAAGACAAACAAAATGTCGGAGAACATCTAAATTGAATTGTTCATTTTCTCCAAGAAAATCCCCAACTGCGGACTAGAAAAATTTAAAAGAAAATAATTTTTAATACCAAAAACCTTTTTTAAATCATTATTTTTTAATAAAAAACGAGCAAAATCTTCAGCTGAATTTTCAACTAAACAAGCATCAATTAATGATTGGACACCCTTTCTGTAATCTTCATTAAAAGCACTAATAGCCAGTTTTTGAATTTTTGCTTTTGGTAATCTAAAAAACTTTAAAAAATTAAAAGAAAAATCTAAAACCGATTAGAAACTGGACTAAGCGTTTCAAGTCTTGAATTTGTTTTTGACAATTCTTGTTGAAGAATCTGGAATATAAAAACAAAGGATATATTGAAATTTTTTAAAGATCATTTCAACCTGTATTTCATCAAGTAATTGATTTTTTCGAGACCTTCAAAATTGTTTAATTAAAAAATATAAAATAATAACCGTAATTGCGTCAAACGTTCATACTCGTCAGGTGTAAGATCAACAGTGGAAAATGAAGAAGTCATTAAAAGAAGAAACGACTTCTAACAAAATAGCGATCTGAAAAGTAAATTTAAGAATTATTTTAAAAAACTAATTCGGAAAAATAAAAATAATTATTAAAAAAAATAATTTCAAACAGTCAAAGCTTCAAATTGCTTAAAAGATTTATTCACATATTTTAGAGATTAATAATCAAAAAAATTAGATAAACAAATATAAACTATTAATATTATTTTTCGTTGTTTAATTTTCTTCTATTCTTCAGAATTCTCATAAAATTCTTGAGAAACGTGGTGTTTAGAAACATCATATTTAAATGGATTATTATCCAAATCCTCTCCAAAGTTAGTTTTCACAGAACAGCATTTTAGACTTAAATATGGCGTACAATAATTATCTGATAGGCCTTTTATTGATTTTCCTAAAAATAAAAAAGTAAATTTAATAATTAAGTCTTTTTTTGAAAAAGTAGTAAAAAAGCTAGAAATTATTTGGCCTGGTAAAAGAGTAAAAGCTGAAAGATTCTTTCAATTTCAGCTAAATAACGCAAACTTAATATCCAAATACGAAAATCAAACTGGGCCATAATAATTTCTCGATCGAAAACAAAAAATAAAAATTAAAAAAAATTTTCTTACCAATTAATTTCCCATTTTGAGTAAAGAAAACATAAGGCTGTTTTTCAGGCATATCAGTTGGAGGGAAAACTAAACCGCACCCCAAAACATCTCCACTCTTCCAAAAAAATTCCATTTCGTCCAGATCTTCAAAAAACTCCTCTCCTCTAATTTTGTAAAAAATTCGAAAATCATGCGCTTCAATTGCAAAAATATTTCTATTGCTGAAAAATCCAACAGTTAATTCAATTTCATAATTAACACGATCTAGAATAAACTGACAAGTTATTTCATAATAGAATAAAGAATAAAAGAAGTAATCTTTTTCAGGTTTAATAAGTCTAAATTGTGCTTCAATAGAACATGTTACATTTGTTCCTGAAATAAAAGAAAATTTTATCTAATTTTAAAAAATTGTTAGTAACGTTCGAAGTCATAAAAAATGTCTTATAGGGATATATGACAATATTTTGTCAGCAATCTTTTAACCGGAGATTACTCAAAACAAGAATGTTGTGACAACGTGAAAGAATTTATCAAATGAATAAATATTTGAATGTTTTTTCCGTTAGTTAATTTCGAAAAAATCAGCCTACTATTAACTCTTCTAAATAGGGTTGTCGGTTCAAGGAAAAACTTAGGATATCCAGGACTGACATGAACCGAACCCAAAAATCATCTGTTCGGTCCAGACCGACAACCCTACTTCTAAACATCCTAATTAATATATCAGTAAAACCCCACCTCTATCTTCTTCACATTCATAATATTTCACACTGTCACTGTACAAATTAATAAACCCATTCCCATTAACACACAAACCCCCAGGAGCTTTTGTATTTACACAATCATTGTCACAACATAAAGAATTTATTGTTGTCCACTTGTTTGGAAATGGTAAAAAGCACTGAAATAGAACCAAATAGTTTTATTTAAAAAAGCAAAAACTGACCACTCTTTTTACGGACATTTTATCCAATTGCTCCAATTTCGAGGTTAAATTGTCAATTCTTTTATTTAATGCAGAGCTTAACTTAAATTAATTTCTTAAAAGATTTTTAAAAATAAGTTAACTAACCTTTTGAATTTTCTTATCATTTTGCTTTTTCAAATTTAAAATTTCTTCTTTATTTTCATTATGGATAAGTTGTACTCGTTGTTTATTCTGAAAAACAAAAATTTATCTCGAATGCCTCCTTCTAGGGTTGGGGGCCCGATCCGGCCCGGTCCAAAAGATCAAGTCGGGCATCGAATTTTGGACGAAAAGGACTAGGTCCGGCCGGCCGATAAAAATAAGGCCCGAAAAAAATGACTCGAACGTCGGTCCGACTCAAAAACCCCAACCCTACCCCCTTCCCTTCAAAAACCAACAAAACCAAACCTTTTTAATTTTATTCTCTAAAAATTGATTTCTGTCTTCTAAATTCTTTACTCGTAATTCCAAAGCAGAATTTTTATTTTTCTCTTCCAAAAACATTTTTTGTAGGTCTTGAACATTAACAAATAATTTAATAATTACATCCTAAAAATTTAGAAAAAAATTTTTTTAATTAATTTTAAAACTAACCTTTAAATCCAAATTAGAAGTTAACAATTCTTCCAACATTCTACAAAATTTTTAAATAAAACTTTCTAAATAAAAAAAAATAAAAATTAATAAATTTTAGCAGCCGCTTCGACTGGAAATTATTTGACCTTTCTAAATTAGATATTTCAATTTTAGATATTTTGATATTTTTTGCTCTATTTGACATTATGAAAATTAATTTTTCAACAACGCGCCAAGAAATATTAATTTAAATTTTAAAAGATTTTTTTAGTTTTTTAAGCTAAAAAATTTTTGTTTTTTTTTTATTTTTAATTTTTAAACTAATTTTAGTGGCTTTTTCAATGCAGTTAGACTCAGTTATAGCTGGACAAGAGAATGATGATGAATATGTGGCAGATGCTTTGCTTGCTGTAAAGCTTAACTTTGGTTAATTTAAATTTATTTAATCGTTTAATAAAATCAAAATTTAAGTTTCTTCAACTGACGAAATTGATAAATCTCCAAAATATTCTCCAGAATTTGCTTATCAACATTTTGGGGAAACGTTTGTTTTTGTCTAATTAATTAAAATTTATTTTTTTAGTGAAAAGATTGTTGGATACAAAAATCTTTCTGTTAATGTAATATATTCGGATGCTTCTCTTTTTCTTACTTCTTTGGTTAAATATGATGGAATTCTTAATGGAAATTCGGCTATTCAAGTATAATTATTTTATAATTATTTTTCATAAATTCATTTAGGCTGACAATATTGTTGAGAAAATCAAAGATGCCTTACCTAGCACACAATTGGATGCTTATTTGCCTTTTGACAAATTTAAGGATAAATTGATTGAGCAAACTAAATTTCGTCCTTATGGAGAACTTATTTCTAAATTTTATATTGAACAAGGTTTTTAGATTTTTTTATGAATAACGCGGCAAATGACAAAAGTAAAAGTTGGGTGGTGAAGGGTTAGGAATATATGAGGGGACTAAAGGTTGAAAATAAACAACATTCCAATAAGTGAACAAAACTACAAATATAATGAATGAAAGGCGGCTGTCATACACAAAAAAAAAAGAATAATTTTCTAAAAACAGATGCGCTTATTTAAAATAATAGGAAAAATATTTACATTACAAAAGAAGGGAAAATATTTAGATTAGATAGAAAATGGGGGGAAATTCAATTAAATATATAATTTTAGCTAAATAGAAAATAATTCTAGAAATCGGTAAAGAACGCTGCTTTGAATTATACAAATTTGATAAGTTGGAAACTGATCCCAGATTGGAAGAGGGAATTAAATTTTTGGAAAGGGCTCAATCAATCGCTTTTTGGTATATTGAATCGGTAATTTTTTTCTTAATAAATTTGAAATTATTTTATTCAAGTTTCTTTACTACTTTCAATTTTTTATTTCGGGGGGTGTATTAAGGATTTCTAATTTCTTTTCTTATGTTTTGGTGGTATTTGGGAATATCTCCTCACAAGTCTGCAAATGTTTGTCCGCAAATTTCTCCTCTCATAAAAGATTAAAAATGACTTCAAGACAAAATGTTAAAATTTATAATTATGCAAATAGATAATGTAAAAATCATTTAGGAGCCCGAATCTCTGCTATTTTCTCTAATATCCATTCGAAAAAATCTTCTTTTTTAACTTCCTTTCTACACATAAATTCTGCTCGATTTCTGTCAATTTCTACGGCCATATTTTCACCATCTAAATAATTTAATGCTAATACCTATCAAAACTATTATTTAATACCTTGATTCTTCTGCTTATTTACCACGTGTTCCACACAAATACTTAGTAACTTTTTTTTCCAATCATTTGTTGTTTTTGAGTTCATCTCCAATTCCCGTTCACAAAACTTATTGTTAACTGCTGTCATTCCAATAGCCCAAGCATAAATAAAACGAACAATGGTGACAATTGGAATATGACTTCCCTCTAACCAGTTTCCAACTCTTATATTGACTTCAGAACGACACGTAGATTTACTACATTGCCAGCTAATTTGCTCACCAATACTTAACTTCATTTCGTGGCCATTTTCACAAATTTTATTTGTTGGTAGAATATTTTTTGATTGTAAAAATTTTATCGCTGCTTCTTCAGTTTTTGGAAGACTAAAAAAATTCATTGATCTAAAATATATAATTCAAAAATTTTAAAAACAAAATTAAAAATGACTGCCTTTTCTCATTGACTGCCCTATTTAAATTGATATTTCGACAGTTTTTAATCTCTATGAGAGGAGAAAAAATGAAGGAGAAGAAAAGAAAATTTGGGTGGGTGATACTCCCTAAGCAGGCCCGTAGCCATGGGAAAAGGAAAAAATTTGGGGAGGGGATTGGGCAAAAAATTGAATTTTTTTGCCTACGGCCTTCAAAATTTTAAAAATGTTCGCCTACGGCTTTCTAAAACTCAAAATTTTCGCCTGCGGCGCTAAAAATTTGGCCCAGAAACCCCCCCCCCCAATTATGGACTTGTCCCTAAGTCTTTTTGGATTTTTCCTTAAATTTTTATTTTAAATTCTTGCTTATATTTTCTATATATTTTTGTAGGTCCAATATACAGATGAAGAAGATCCTCGATTCTTCAATTATTTTCTTTTTGAATCTCTCAAATCTTCAAATAATGGCCTTCGATGGAAGTTTGCTGGTTATGCAAATCTTTATCGTTTTTACCATTACCCAGATAAGGACAGAGTTAGAATTGCGCAAATATTGTTGGCTCCGCCATTCAGGAAAATGGGTCTTGGGCCTAAATTTCTACAAGCAATATATTCTGATCTTTGGAGAATTGAAACTGTTTGGGATATTACTGGTTTTATTTCATTTTTGATTTTTAAATTCTTTTTAAATTATTTTTTTTTTAATTTAGCTGAAGTCCCAGCAGATTCTTTTGTAATTATGAGGGATTATGTAGATGCTTTAAATTGCTCTAAATTGCCACAATTTTCAAAAGAAAATCTTATGAATGGATTTAACACAGAAATGTATAAAATAGCTCGTGAAAAATATAAATTATGCAAGGTTTTGAAATTTTTTAAAAGAAATATTAAAAATTTAGATGCAAACTCGTCGTATTTATGAAATTCTACGACTTTTCCACACTAAAGTAAATGTTCCCGAAGAGCTTAAGCAATTTAAAGATGATGTTTTTAAACGATTGAAAAAACTTGTAATGGATCCAAAAAGAGATAGAGGAAGGATTGCACAATCATTTGCAGATGATGAACAATCTTTGGCTATTGCAATGATGGCATTTGAACCGGTAAGAATAAAGAGAAATTAATGGGGGATATTATAGTAGATGGGATAACTAGAGAGTGAAGACACTCTTTTGACTTTTAGAATTTAGAAAAAAATTTAAAAGAAATTAATAAATACTCAAAATTTTCTTTTGGCTATAGATCCTCAAAAATTATTTTTTAATTATTTAAAAATTAGCGAAAATTCTTCTAATCTTTTTCTGCCTATATAATTTGATTAAATTAATTTTTTAAATAATTTATTTAAAGGAACAACAGCAACATCAATTGGAAACACTTTATGAAAATTTGGTGAATAATTACAGAATTGTTTTGGATCTTTTGGCAAAATATGAGAAAGAATTTGTTAAATGAATATTGAAATTTGGAATGAAAGAAGGGGAAGTTTATTATTGATCTTATTATTTTGATTAACATATTGCTGAATTTTTTTTTTGAATTTGGTTATTTTTTAAATTAAATACTTAATTTTGTAAAAGTTTTTTGAGTTTAAAGTTATTTTCTTAGATGAATTTCTTTTTTAATTTTATTATTTTTTAACAATTTGGAAGATGAATAAAAATGATCCAAATCGAAAACCTTTTGGCTTTCCATATGATCCCTATCCAATCCAAAGTCAATTAATGAATGCAATTTATAATTCGGCAGAACAGGGAAGTATTGCTATTTTTGAATCTCCTACAGGAACTGGAAAATCTTTATCTACAATATGCGCGGTAATTAAATATTTTTTGGTAACCAATTTAGAAAGTTATCCTGTAATGGTTATAGTATCAGAATTGGTTTTACCTTTAGAAATATCGACAAATCTTTATAATAGAAATTTATTTTTCAGTCCCTAACATGGCTCGAGGAAAACGAAAAAAGGCATCTAGAAGATGTTGAGAAGCGAATACGAGAATTATGTTTGAATTTGCAAGGTTTGTTCCTATTTTTATTCTTCACTTCCAATTTGCATTTTCTTTTTGGAAAGTAGCAAGAAAATGTCATCATGGGTTATAAAATGGAATTGGTCATAATCTTCGCCCTTTATTGTTTCCATTCCATTTTCCTAAAATAATTTAGGGGGATTTTTCTCAATTTCTTTCAAAAAACCTCTAGAGCGGTCAGTACATGTTCTTTAGTCAAAAAATGGCTGCTAAATCGTTTCCCTCCAAATCGGTATTCTGTTGCGTGAAATATTCCTCCTTGAAGTAACCAACCACCAGGCTTAATTAATCCACAAGCTCCATTTATAGCCCTCTTGTAGCCCTCAAGTGTCTCACAAGAATATTCCATACAAAATACTGTCGTTACTAAATCGAATTGTTTTGGAATTTCTTTTAAATTTTCTGCTTTCCATTCAATACTTTGAATAACTGGACGTTTTTGTACATTTACCTTGGAAATTTTTTCTAAAAGAAAATTCTCTCTCTCAATAATTACTTCCAAAACAGCCCTCATTTTCTCTCTAGTAAAATCCTGCATTTGTAACGGTTTCTCATGTCTTGCTTCTATCCCAGCAATCCAACAACAAATCTCAGACCAATCAAAGCTGTTTTTTGCAAATATCCAATCAATAACTCTTTGCCTATTTTGTGGGGAATAATCGGAACTAAAAATTGATTCAATGTGGTTTCGCAAAACTAGAGGAATGTATATTGTTGGACCTTAAAAAATTTTTTGGAGAAGATTTTCTATATCTTTTTCCAACCTGCACCCAAATCTAGCATTGTACCTATAGTTTTGGGAAGTCTACAAACCATTCCTGGTAGGAAAAACAGTACTATTTGCATTGCAACATCCTCACGTGGCGATTTGTAGAATCCCTGTCAAATAATTATTTTTGGGGTGGAAATTATCGTTAGATTTTTTCTCCTTTTTCTTACCTCTAAATACTTGTCTGGATCAAACTAAAATTTGAATATTTTTTAATTTTATTCAATTAATTCTGTACTTGTTTGTCATGTTCATCAGCTCTAAATATAGGATCAGGAGGAGATTTTTCCTTTTCCTTATTTTTATTTTTATTTTCTTCTTTATTATTATCCTCATCCAATTCGCACCTATACAATTGAACAATTAAGGGATGAACATTTGTTGTTGTATTTTTGTAATTAAGTCCATCTTCTGGTATTTCCTCTTCTTTAGCAGCCATTTAGAGATTACTTAAATTATATTTAAAATGTTCTCCATGTGGTTCTTTCCAGATCTTTTAATCTTTGCAGTGAATTTTTTCTTGCTACTTTAAGATCGATCATTCTCTTAAGATTAAGAGAAAGGAGAAGAGTGTTTAGTGGATATTTGTAAAGCACTAGAAATTGAGGTTTTTTTTGTTATTTGTTTTAAAAGATAAACATCAAAATAAGTAGAGAAAGTGTGTAAAAATGATTAACAGAAAGTGGAGCTCTTAGAAAAAATAAGTGGTAAATTGGAATTTTTTTGGAACATGAAAGTGAAAAAACAGATAATTTTGTAAAAAAAATTTAATTTTTAGAAGACGGTTATGACACAGATTGGATAAATGTACACAAACAAAAGATGGATATTGAACAAGAATTGGATGAACTTCGGGAAGAAAAAGCAAAACAACAAAGAATACAACAAAGATTGGCACAAATACGTCAAGATCAGAAAGAGTTTAGAGAATCTGGAATAAAAAAGAGTAGAAAAATACGTAGAGGGAAGAGATCTCGTTCAGTAGAAAATGATTTGGAGAATGCTCCTCCTCCTGCATCTTCTGATATTATTACTTTAGAGGATGATAGTGACAACAAAAATGATTTTAATAAAAGAAGAGATAGAGTTGGGTTTTTTTTAATTTTTTTCGGAAAGATTTTGGGCTTTATCTGAATTTCCCCCACACCTTTTATTAACATCCCTTGTTTTATGCGACTGGAATTGTTTTTAGATCCCCTCTCGAACACTAATTTTTACTGTAAAATCCTCTCAATAAATTTTTACTTATTTTTAAATTTTTTTAAGGATTTACTTCTCAGTGATAGCGAAGAAGAAGGCGATGAAAAGAAAGCTTCCAATAATTCAATTAATGGTGACGCTCCAGAAAGTGAACCTGTCCTTCGGTGTAATAAATTAATTTATGCTAGTCGAACACATTCTCAAGTAAATTTATTTTTCTTTGTTTGGAAATTAATAATTATTTAGTTGGAACAATTTGTCAAAGAATTGCAGAAAACAAATTTCAAGCCACGAGTATTAACATTGGGTTCGAGGCAGATGCTTTGTGTTAATGAAGTGGGGATTTTAGTGTAAATTTAATTGTGAAATCTAAAAGAGTAGGTAAACTCCTTCCAATTATTAACCTCCGATTTGATGTCTCTCAATAAGTATTTTAACTTTGTTCCTTAAAAAAGAGGACATGAATTATCATATATTATTAAAATATTTTAGGAAGTTCGCGAACTTGGAGAAGGCAAATTAATTAATGATAAATGTAATGAACTTCTTAGCAGTTCAGGCAAAAATACTGAAGACGGGAAGCGTCCAAAATTGGTATTTACATATAAAATTAAAATAAAAAATTAAAGAAAAGGCTAATGAAAACATTCCAAATTTTCTATTTTATTTTACATAACACTTCATTACCTAATTTAAAATTTAATCTGTTTAGGAATGTGAAGTCCCAAAAAGTGGTTGTGGTTGTTCTTATGCAAAAGGTGATGCTATAGAAGAATTATCTGATGCAATATTGGCCGTTGATGAAGATGAAAAATTTGTTGGTCAAGCTAGAGGAATTTCACAATTAGTAAAGTTGGGACGTCAAAGGCATGGATGTCCATATTATGCAAGCAAAACAGCTTTAGGATTAAGCCAATTAATTTTAGTCCCTTACAATATTTTATTACATAAAAGAACGAGGCAGGCGTGGAATCTTGATTTGTCAGGAAATGTTATTATTGTTGATGAAGCACATAATTTATTACAAACATTGGCTAGCATACATACTGTTAGGCTTTATATTTTTAATTAGGGTTGGGGTCCGGTCCGAAAGATCGAGTCGGCATCGAATTTTGGCACAAAAATCCTTGGTTTTGCCTGCCCGAAAAAATGACTCGAACGTCGGCCCGACTCGAAAACCCCAGCCCTACTTTTAATTCAGCAAAAGTAAATTTATTTGGGTGCTTAAGAAAGGGCGTCTATAATCAGAACTATCCACAATTGCGGATTTCCAAAATTTCGGGGTTTTTCGACTTGTGGATTTTTTGCGTCCAGCTTTGCTGTCTATAATTGATGATTGATTAAATTTATGTTTCCTGAAAAAATTTTCGATTGCAGACATTTATTGGGAAGAAATTCTTTCCCTTTTTAACCTTCGATTTTTCTGATTGCCATTCATAAATCTTTTTAAACAAATTTTATTTTAAATTTTCACAGGTAGAATTGAGCAATAATCAATTAGATGTTTGTTGTCAATGTTTAAGTGATTATATGGAACATTTTCAAGATCGTTTAAGTTTTCGCAATTTACGTAATGTTAAACAACTTCACTGCCTAGCATATTCAATGTATCAATTTCTTGGTTCTATTTCTAAAGAAAAAGGGTCTTCTACAGATGGAACTGTTATTAACATGGCACATTTTTTTGCTCAAGTAAAAATTTTTGACAAAAATTTGAAAAAAATTCTTTTTTAGTTAGGCGATGCAATAAATATAGACTTATGCCGTTTACTTTCATATCTCGAAAATTCACAATTATGCAGAAAATTGAGAAATTTTCGGCTAAGATATCGACCACAAGTGACAATATACAACCCTAATCGTGAGATTTAAATTATTTTGTAAATTAAAATTTTTATTTTTTAGTTTCTCCTGTAAATATTACACCTTTATATCAACTTCGGGATTTTATTGAAGTAATTATTATTTTTTTGGATTTTATTTTGAAAATACCAATCTCATTTTTAGATAGCCTTAAACAGATTTGGATACGATTTTAATAGGGATAGAAAATTTTAAAAAACCTTGACCTGATTCTTTATTTTGATTGAGGACCTTGACCATATTTTTGACCTTAAGTGAGGGAAAAATCCGTGAACACTGAAATGCCTTGATCCTGACCAGGTGTCTGGATCCAGATTCAGGCCGATCTATAGATTTTAATACTTCTGATTGACCTGCTGGGTGGTAGAGCTGTCTAACATAAGAGATACCCTCAATTTGAGGTATTCCTTATTATAAGGTACAATTTTTTAACTCTACGGGAAGGAGGGGGTATCTAAAATGTGGTTTTTGACTTTACCTAATGTACTTCAATTTCTTCTCTTTTACTAGGCTTTAACCTCTCGGTCAGAAGATGCTCGTATAGTTATTGACAGAACAAATATTCGAGATCCTCGTTTACGCTTTATTTTGCTCAACCCAGCAGAAAAATTAAGAGATATAGTAAATGAATGTAGATCGTTAATTTTACTTGGAGGAACAATGAGACCAGTTGATCAATTAATGGATGCATTTAAAAGAGTTTGTAAAATACCCCAACAACGAATTAAAGTATTTTCTTGTGGACATGTTATTGGGCCTAAACAACTTTTGGCAATTTCTATTGGTGAATTTTTCAATTTTTTTCTGAAGAAATTTAAAAAATTTTTAGGTAAAGGACCAGATGATAAACCTTTAAGTTTAAATTTTGCAAATCGTGATTCTGAATCAGTTCTACGTTCATTGGCCCAATCTTTTATTAATTTAATTAGACAAATACCTAATGGAGTTGTTGCTTTCTTTCCTAGGTGAGTGAGAGAAAATGAAATTAATTTTTTAAATTAAGTTTGAAATGTCTTGAGATCATAACTTAAAATTCAGTCATTTTAAGTTCTTTTAACATTATTTTTAGACGTTTGGTCTTCAAACCCCTTTTGTGAAAAAAATGTTAAACTCGAGTCCTCCTATCTGCTACCTCGAATCCTCCTATCCGCTACTAGTTAATAACAAGATAAGGGGAGCTTGAAATAAACTGAAGGGGAGTGATAACTCCTTGAACTAAACAATTTTAGATTTAATAGAAATTTATTTCGTAATTTTTTAGTTATGCTTTTCTTGGAACATTTATTCGGTCAATCCGTTCTTCTGGACATTTTGAACAATTAGAGGTTCTAAATAATTTTTAAATTAATTTGTCATAAAATTATTTTTAAGAGAAGAAAAGAAATATTTATTGAAACACGTGCCGGAAAAGAAGAAACATCCATTTGGCCAACATTTTGTAGAGCTGCTGTTACTCAACGTGGGGCTCTTTTAATGGCTGTTGTTGGGGGGAAATTGAGTGAAGGAATTAATTTCTCTGATGAATTGGGGCGGTGTGTTTTGATGGTAATTTAGGGATTGGAGATTAAAAAATAAATTTTTATTTTTTTAAAAAGGTTGGTGTTCCTTATCCAAATAGACAATCAGCTGAATTACAAGAGAGAATGAAAGTAATAATTAATATTTAAATATAAATTTGGGGGTTTGAGAAAAGGTGAGGGTTGGGAAAATGACCATTGAAACTTGAAAAAAATCTAAGAGAATTATGAGAGATTAGAACAACTAACTTTATTAGATAATAAAATTATGAACACTTTGGATTTGTTTAATAAACACTAAAATCTTTTCCTCCTCTAACCTTTATCCGTTTTTCGATCTTATATGTAGTATAACATCGGAATATTAATTGAGGGGAATCGACAAAATATATTCTAATATCCCAAATATTCCTTTTTTCTATCCCAAGTTTTACTATCATTTTTCTAGGCTTTCAAAATTGTAAAGGTTTTAAAGGGATTGAATAAAATAAGCCCCATCTTTAATCACATTTTTATTTAAAAATTTTAAAGTTTGTTGAACAAACAAATGGCCCAGGTGCCGGAAATCGTTTTTACGAGCAATTATGTCTTCAATCATTAAATCAGGCAATTGGGCGTGTTATTAGACACAAAAATGATTATGCAGTTATATTATTGTTAGATTCTCGATTTACTCAGCAATTCTTAGGGAATGGATTACCTAATTGGATAAAACAAAGATTAATTAATTCTTCAAATTTTTCGGAAGCTTTGGGGGCTTTAATTAAATTTTTTCGTTTACACAAAACAGAAAAAGAAGAAAAAATACAACAACAAATAACTACAAAATTAGTAAATGATCAAGAGAATAGTAATGATGATATTATTGAATTGTGAGTCATCAAAGGAAGAGAAGAAGGGAAGGGGGAGGAGGGGGAAGGGGGAAGGAATATAAAATTTATTAAAACTACAAAAATTTTGTTTGACAAAAATTTAAATTATTTATTTTTTTTTTGATTTTATTATACAAGAAAATTCCTTTTTTTAGAGAAAAGCTTTATATGTATTTTTGTGTTTTTATTTACTTATTTTTTGTTTTATTTACGCACAAAAAGGTTGTAAATTTAAATAAAATAAAAGTTTATAAAATTCAAAGAATTTTTTCTTAAAAATTATTTTAATATTCTTTTTTAACAAGAATTTCTCATTTTTTTATTGAACTTAGAAAACACAAAAAAAATTTTTTTTGTTAATTTAAATGGCCTCCATCGGAACCTGATTTTCTGTCTTTTGTATTTTAATTTTTCAATCTTTTTGTTTTCGTGCTTTTCTCTTTCTCAATGTTCAATTGCAATTAAAAAATATAGCGAATCAATCACCAAAATAATTTATTGAGTTAATTCTTTCAAAAAAATTTTTATTTCGAAAAAAAAAGTTAGAAAAGCTCGACAGGCTGTAGCCAGCCATCCCACAAAAACTCTGACTATTCCCGACTTGAAGGCGAAGTTGCTACACTAAATTAAGATGAAAAAATAGTCGAAAATTCAAAAGTTCCTCTCATTGAATTTTTTATTCCTCACCTTCTTTTACAATAGCTTTTTTTCAAATTTTTTTAAATTTTTATAAATTAAAAACAATTAAGATTAAATTTTATTTTTTTTTGAATATGGAAAGAAAAAAATATTTAATTAATTTAATTATTATTCTCTCAATTACAACAATTCCTCATGTCAGTACAGATTTTCTCGATAATTTATTTGGTGATAATAATGAAGAAGAAAAGCCTGTATCCAATGAAAAGGCTATGGTTAATAATAAAGATTTCCTTTATTAATTTTATTTTTTAGAAATATTTACAAGATTTTGGTTATGTTCCACCCGGAGAGCTTAACAACAATCGCGGTTCTGAAGGAGGCTTTGAGTGGGTGTTTCGAGGGAATTTTTGGGGAGAGTCCTTTAAGGAACAAGATTCCCAACTGATTAAAAAAGTTAGAACCGCAGTCATAAACATCAAATGCCTAGAGATTAATCCAGTCCCTTACATAAGTCCCTTACACAAACACCCTCAGATAAAATGGAGAGTTGGTCCCTTAATCCACTCTTTTTTCTAACTTCAAGTCCTTCCTAACTACCTTTTCCGCTAATCCCTACCCCATAAAAATCTCTAATTGCCAAATTTTGATATAAAATTTTTAAATTTTACTTAGCCCAGTAAATGATGCCATCAAAAAATTTCAACTTTATGCGCATTTAGTGAGTAAAAAAATTAACTATAATTTAAAATAAATTTAATATGTAGCCAGTTACCGGAAAACTCGATGTTAAAACAAAAAAGAAAATGGCTAAAAAACGTTGTGGAATGCAAGATGTTGAAATGATTACAAATAACAGAGGGACCAGTCAATTTAAATGGGATAAATCTTTAATTAAATATTCAATACATAATTTCTCTCCAGATTTGTCATCTTCTAGGCAAAGGTAGAAAAATACAATAAAGATAAATTATTCCTTAAACATTGAAAAGTCCCCGCTGTTACACGTTCGACAAACGTTAATTATTCCCTTCACTCGAGTATACAAACTGTTTAGTTGTCCTACGTGTTAATTATCCCTTAACTTACATACCCATCAAGTATCCTAACTTAAACTGATTTAGAGAGATGGGATAAGGTGGTAGAGTTGAAAAATCTAAAATATTTTTTTTGATTATTTTAGAGACGCTATTAGACGTGCATTCCAAACATGGTACTATGTCTATAGAAATTAATATAAATGAGGAATTTTAAAGGTCAGCTGTTATACCAATAAAATTTGAAGAGACTAGTGGATCGGCTGATATTAATATTGTAAGTAAGATGGATAAATTAAAAAAATAAAATTAAAAGCTCTAAATTATCCCAAAGATATTACCATTAAAATTATTGCAAGTTTCAGTCAAGATTTTCATTCTAACTCAAAAAAATCACTCCGGGTCAGGGGTTTTTGTTTTTTTTATTGCGTTTTTCACGATTGCCTTTTGCGCTCACCCAAGCTACGGGTTAAAAAGTTCCAAGGTTTTGGGAAATAATCGAAATTTAGTCTAAAATAAAAATACTTGTTTCAATTTAAAAAGATTTTTGCTTCTGGAAGTCATGGAGATCCATGGCCTTTTGATGGGAGAGGTAGAAAGAATTACAAAGGTTTAAAAAAATATATTTATTTGTAGGAGGAGTTTTAGCTCACGCAACAATGCCAAAAGATGGAAAACTTCATTTTGATGTTTTTAATTAATTATTTGAATTTATTTTTAAAAAAAAATTTTAAGGAAAGCGAGAACTGGGCATTAGGACCAGAAGATGCTAATAAAATTGGAACGTTAGTTTTCAGAATTTAATCAAAATAAGAATTTTAATTTCTCTCATAATGTGTCCTCACAATTTCTCTGATTCTACCCTTACATACATTAGTCAAAATAATTTATCTTTAATTTTCAGTAGTCGTTATACTGATCTCTATCCAGGTATGTAAACTAAAATCATCTTCTGGACTATACTTTCACGTTATCTCGGATCCAAAAAGGGGGAGGGATACGAAAGAGATTGCCCGAATTTTCTTTAATTTTTATAAAAAATATATTAGTGACTGTTCATGAAATTGGACACACTCTAGGACTTTCACATTCCAAAGTTGAGGATGCGATAATGGCACCATTTTATCAAGAAACTGTCGAAAATGGTGTTTATGTTATGCCCCGACTAAAGTATTTAAAATAAAATTTTTTGAAGATTAATAAAATTTTTATTAAGAAGCGACGATATTCGAGCTATTCAAGCAATCTACGGTAAAGAGGAAAGGAAGAAAAATAATTTTTATCTCAATCATATTTTTGTCAGTTTCTCTCATTTTTAGGTTCAGGGAGAGGAGAAGAAAGTGATTTTGGTAGTAGAAGTAGAGGAAGGAATGGAGGAAGTAATTCTGATAATAATTGGGATTGGCCATTCTCTCCAAGAGAATCCTCATCAAATAAAGGAAGAGAAGACAGATTTTTGGATAGAATATTTAGTAAATGGTTAGGATAGAAGAAATTTTAAAATTAAAATAGAACATCAATAAAAAGTTTAATTTCCAACACAAAAATATTGTAATTTTCTTTAAAATGCGAGACTCCAGTGACCGCGAGACTCTAATGACTTCTTATCAAAATTTTAATTGGCGTTTTGAAATAAAATTAATAAGTTGATATTTCGTAATTTTTCATGAAGAAAGCTTTCGAAATGGAAACTTTTAAAATGGAAGAACCAAATTTTTTTTATTTAATTTAATTTTTACTTTTTTTCCTTTGTTTGCACTTTCTTTTGTTTTATTCCGTGTTTTTATTTGTTTTAGTTTTGTTTAGTATTGCTACATTAAAATATTTTGCAAATTTAATAATTGCTTAATGGGAAAATTAAAAGAGAAAACAACATCAACTTCTGGATCACCAGTCAAAGGCCATCAATATCAATCTACAAGTCAAGCTGAGGTTATCTTTTTTAAAGTTTTTCCTTAAAGAACCGGGTCCCATTTAGCCTTACCTCCTTCCTATCCACAGTGGGTATATCTATCAAATCTTTACTAAATAACTTTTACGGATTTTATCTTACAAGGCAAACAAACACAAGGCCCCCCGACCCCCATTTCGAAAACTTGTAGGGCTTCAAAGTTTTCGTCTGTTGGAAGTCGGAGCCAAAAAAGCCAGGCACTCAAGGGCGTAGCCAGAGGGTCGATTTCGGGGGGGAGGGGGGCTAACACTGGGTGTGCGCAAAATTTTTGGCGTTTACCTTGGCGTTCTGGACGCAAATTTTTTTGAACCATATTTTTATTTTTTTCAGCGCCGCAGGCGAAAATTTTTTTAATTTTAGAAGGCCGTAGGCCAAAAAATTCACTTTTTCGGCGCCGCAGGCGCCAAAAATTCTTTTTTTTCCAAATATACTTTTTCGGCGCCGCAGGCGCCAAAAAAAATTTTTTTTTGAATGTTGGAGCTCAGAAGCCATATTTCTTCCATTTTTAGCGCCGCAGGCGAAAATTTTTAAAATTATGAAGGCCGTAGGCCAAAAAAATTCACTTTTTTGCTAGTTCTTCTCCTAATTTTTCTTCCCTTTCTCCCATTTCGGGGGGGGGGGGGGGGCTTTAGCCCCAGAAGCCCCCCCCTTGGCTACGCCCTTGCAGGCACTACAATAGGTTTTTGACCATGCTCTACACGATGGTATAATTTTTATTTCAAAATTTTTACTCTCAGTTCGAAATGTTTCCTTTTTAACTTTTAAAAACATTTTTTAGTCACTTCAAAAAACAAAAAAGAGGAAACACGAGGGCGTTTCTACTGATAACAACAATTTAATCCCTTCTACAAGTGCAATTAAGCAACCTGTAAGAAATTTCCTTTAAAATTTTATTTTATCTAACATTTTAGAAGAAAGAACCAGAAGTCGTCGAATGCTTGGATTCTGATGATGAGGAGCCTGATGGTTCTGTAACTTCAAATACTCCGACAGTCAATGTTATGCCGAAGGATATGTATTGCTTTTGCAAGGTTATTTTTTAATCATTTAAAAGATTTTTTTGATTTCTTAATTGAAATACTAGGTGAAAAGGTTATATATTTTGAATTTCTATAGTGAGATAAAACTGGAAATCTAGAAATAGAAAAATTTATGAAATACAAATTTTTTATATGAGAAGCTAGAATTATAATTTACCTATTTTTAAATTTTATTTTTGTTTTTTTTTTCAGTATATTTTGGATTTGGACGAGCAGAAGGCCTTACATTTGAGTGATAGAAAGGCCAATGTTAAATTCAATACGCTTTTACGAGATGTCCCGAATGTTGATCCTTCTTACGATTTAGCGTAATTATTTCATTTTAAGACTTCTTTAAATTTATTTTTTTAGTCAATTACAAGCTTGTTTTGTTCAATTTTATCGATGGGCAACATTAATGTCAGAAGTTCCTATGACTGAAGCAATTAAAAAAGTTATGGATTTTGCTCAGACTGATCATGTTCTTCAACGTCATCCAGAATTTCCAAAATTACCATCTCTTTGGAGTATTTTTATAAATAAATCGGATCCAGCTCAATTATTTGCAAAAAATAACAATCTAAAGGAAGCCTTTAAGGATAAAACAGTTTGTTTTTCGAATAAAGTTTCGGACAGACATTTGCGGACACTTACTAGTCTTTATTCTGACATAAAACTTATTTGCTTCCATAGGTTTATATTTTGTCCACAAATGTCATTCTGCAAATTAAATAGTAGTATCTTTTAAAAAATTTTATTTTCAGAACAAAAAAGTTATTGAAGCAGAAGAGGAATTTAAACAAAGAAAACGTGATGTAATCGTGGCCTGTAAGGATTTTCTTGAAAAATACAAGAATAATTTGTTTGAACCACAAATTACTAGCATTCAAAAGAAGGTGTTCAAATTGGAGAAGGAAATGGCGGTTTGTTTAAATTTTATTTCAAAAAAAGTTTAGGGAAAGCTAATTAAGTAAACTTATTGTTAGGTGTATTTTTGGGAATGAAAAAGGAATTTTTGTAAATACAACAAAAAAATGTTTTCGATTTACAATATATTTTTTTATTTTATATTTTTCAGTTAGACAATCAAGTCAAAGGTAGAACTGAAAAGAAGCTAAAACCAACAGCATTTGATTTATTTAAGAAAACGAAGGAAGGAAAGTAAGAAATTTATTTTAAAAATATTTTTAATTTAAAAATTTAGATATCTAAATTTGCCAGACGATGAGCGTGAGAGAAAACTTTTGCGTCAATTTGAAAAATTGGATCCCGTGCAACGAAATATTTATGAAACACTTGCAGAAAAGCTTTGATTATTTTCGATTTTAATCTCATTTTGAATATTTTAAAATAATTATATAAATCCACAAAAATATTGTCTCCGATCTCACTTTTTTTGTTAGTTAATAAAATCCTTTATTTGAAGCAATTCACCAAAAGACGTTTTTAAGACAACTTTAGATTCTGAGAATTTATTGAGTTTTGACTGGGTTTTGTCAAGTTTTACTTCGTCTTATGATTTTGGCGTTTTATAGTAATAGTTGTTCTACTCGCTTTGTTGGATCCCTGAACGAAAGTCTTGCTCTAGTTTAGACTCACAAGAAGTTATGGTACACATGAGCAGAAAAAATATTACCGGGTACTTATTGCCATAGATTGGGTTTCGAAGGAATTTTTGGGGAAAGTCCTTTAAGGAACAAAATTCCCATCTACGGAGCCGATTCAAAAAGCGTTAGAATCGGAGTCATAAACTTCAAATACACAGAGATTAATCCAGTGCTTTAAAATTTTTAAATTGTACTTAGCCCATAAATGCTGCCATCAAAAAATTTCAAGTTTTTGCGCATTTGTTTTTCCAAGAAAAAAATATTGTAATTTTGATTAAAAAAATCCGAGACTCTAATCTTAGCAAGATTTTAATTGATGTTTTGTAATATATTTAATTGGTTGATATTTCGTATTTTTCTAAATGAATTTCAAAATGGAAACATTTGAAATGGAAGAAACGAATTGATTTTTTCTTTTTGCCTACTTTTTTTATTTCTTTTCCTTACCCTTTCTTTTGTTTTATTCCGTATTTTTATTTATTTTAGTTTTGTTTAGTATTGCTACTTTAAAGTATTTTGGATATTTAATAATTGCTTAATGGGAAAATTAAAAGACGAAATAACATCAACTTCTGGATCGCCAGTCAAAGGCCATCAATCTACAAGCCAAGCTGAGGTTATCTTTTTAAAGTTTTTCTTTAAGGAAATTTCGGAAAACTAAACAGACTCCGATTGGGACAAATTATATGTCATTCGACTCAGCTCGGCAAGCTGAGTCGAATGACATCAAAATATCGATTGGGACGTAACTATGGGCCGAGATACAGGGCTCGAAATAGTCAAAAACCATAGGGGGGACCAAGCACTTTTTTGGGGTGAAAAATTCGAATATGCAAATAATAGCTCATTTGAAAGAGCTCTTCAAGCTGAGTCGAATAAGACCAAAATCGCAGTGATTGGTTAAGTTTTTTCGAAGTTATGACAGAAAAACAAACAACGTAAACCTATGGAGCGTCGGCGAGGCGCTTGTGCAAAACTCCGCGCTTCGCGCGGAGTTTTGCGGCACGCGCCTCGCGGGGAGTCTACGGGCGCTGGGTCTGGGCTCGTAACTTAATCCTATTCCAATTATCGCTGTGATGAGCATGCCCGGCTTCCTCCGCAGCAGCAAGAACATCCACGGAGGCCATAGGTAAGGAGCTAAAACAAACGAGCACAACTTTGTCAAAACAAGTCGGATTTCGCTGATTTTGGTGTCATTCGACTCAGCTTGAAGAGCTCTTTCAAATGAGCTATTATTTGCATTTTCGAATTTTTTACCCCAAAAAAGTGCTTGGTCCCCCCTATGGTTTTTCAATTTTTCGGGACCTATAACTCGGCACATAGTTACGTCCCAATCGATATTTTGATGTCATTCGACTCAGCTCGCCGAGCTGAGTCGAATGACATATAATTTGTCCCAATCGGAGTCTGTTTAGTTTTCCGAAATTATACCAAATGACCCTTTTACTCTGCCCCATTACCTCCTTCTTTCTTACAGTGGGTATATCTTCTATCAGATCTTTACTAAATAAGAATTTTGTGGATTTTCTTGTTATCTTTCCTTTTTAAAATCATTTTTTAGTCACTTCAGAAAGCAAAAAAGAGGAAACACGAAGAATCTTGTCAGAACAACGGCGATCATAAAGATGAAAGTGTTGTCCTTGAAACTCCTCATGCTTCATTTTCTGAAGTTACTACTGCAAGGATAGATTCTGTTGAAAATACGGTTTATTTTTAAACTTATAGTTAAAATTAAAATTGTTTAATACATTTAGTCTCACCAAAAGAAAAAGAAGAAGAAGAAACGAATTTTGGATGATTCAATGGGTGCTATATAATTTCGACAGTGACTAAATTCGACAGTGGCTAATTTCGACAGTGAAATTCGCCAGTGACTAAACTCGACAGCGACTAAATTCGACAGTGAACTATTTTTTCTTTTTTCACCGTTTTCCTCGATTTTCGACAGTGATTAATTTCGACAGCGACTAAATTCGACAGTAAAGCCTAATTTTTAAAAAGTGCAGATAATTAGAGAAAAAAATAAAAAATTTTCAGTAATTTAGAGAGATCTCAATAGGGGATATCATTTTTTCAACTAGAAAGATCAAGCCTAATCACTAAAAAACTACGAACCGAAAGACGCAATTATTTGGCATTTTTCACATTTATCGCGTTATAATTTTTTAATGATTGATCAGATTTGATCCAATCAGTTGGAAAAAAGATGCCGCTTATCGAGGGCTTTCGAATCATACATTATTTACTCGAATTGGATCATAGCTTAAAAAGTTATAGTCGATTAAAGCTCGTTGGCACTTACTTAACCGCGCTCAACTAGCCTGTTTCGCAGCAACACGGGATGCTGAATCGGCGACTTTGAATCTACCTTCAACGAAAATTTCACTTTTTTTCTCTAATTATCCGCACTTTTTAAAAATTAGGCTTTACTGTCGAATTTAGTCGCTGTCGAAATTAATCACTGTCGAAAATCGAGGAAAACGGTGAAAAAAGAAAAAATAGTTCACTGTCGAATTTAGCCACTGTCGAATTTAGTCACTGTCGAATTTATCAGACACGGATTCAATGACTGATGGTGGCGATGCTAGTTTTGCTGGTGCTTCTACTAATAACAACAATTTAATCCCTTCTACAAGTCAAATGAAAGAACCAAAAGCGGTCGAGTATTCACATTCCGAAGAAGATGAGGTTGATCTGGAAAAAATGCATGAACGTGATGGATCTATAACTTCAAATACTCCAACAGTCAATGTTATGCCGAAAGATATGTATTGCTTTTGCAAGGTTATTTTTAATCATTAAAAAGATTTTTTGGAGGTTTATTAAGGTAAATAGCTGAACGGTTATATATTTTTAAAGAAAATTACTTTTTATGTAAAAATTTTTTGGGTAGAACCGTTTCTTTTCCGAGTCTCAATTTATTTTTAAATTTTATTTTTGTTTTTTTCAGTATATGTTGGATCTGGACGAGCAGAAGACCTTACATTTGACTGGTAGAAAAGCCAATGTTAAATTTAATACGCTTTTACGAGATGTCCCGAATGTTGATCCTTCTTACGATTTAGCGTAATTATTTCATTTTCAAGACTTCTTTAAAATCGACTTTTAGTCAATTACAAGCATGTTTTGTTCAATTTTATCGTTGGGCAACATTAATGTCAGAAGTCCCTATGGCTGAAGCACTTAAAAAAGTTATGGATTTTGTTCAAACTGATCATATTCTTCAACGTTACCCAGAATTTCCAAAATTAAAATCTCTTTGGCATATTTTTATAAATAAATGTGGAGTGGATCAGGCACAATTATTTGGAAAAAATAACAATTTGAGAGATACTTTTAGAGATAAAGATGTTTGTTTTTTAAATAAATTAAAGATGCGGACAGACATTTGCGGACATTAATATCTTACATAAAACCATTTTTTGATTCAATAAGTAAATGTTTTGTCCACATGTCATCCCTCAATTCTGATAAAAAAATTATTTTTAGAATAAAAAAGTTATTGAAGCTGAAGAGGAATTTAAACAAAGAAAACATGATGTAATCGTGGCTTGTAAGGACTTTCTTGAAAAATACAAGAATAGTTTGTTTGAACCACAAATTACTAGCGTTCAAAAGAAGGTTTTCAAATTGGAGAAGGAAATGGCGGTTTGTTTAAATTTTGTTTTAAAAAAGTTTTGGGAATACGAATAGGTGCAAAAATCCCGAAAAATTTGGGCTATGGAAAGTTGGGCTCTAACTTTTCTGAATTCTGGACTCAAAATTTTAGGCATGGGGAATTGTGGACGTAGGGGTGAATTTTGATATTTGGTCAAAAAATCTTTGGTAAAAAATAAATATGAAAAATCTTGAAGCTTACAAAAAACACCAAAAACTTAAAGGCTAAACAATTTTTTAGCTTCAAAAAATTTTTTTTCTATTTTTCAGTTAGACAATCAAGTCAAAGGTAGAACTGAAAGGAAACAGAAAAAGCCAAAAGCAACGGCATTTGATTTATTTAAGAAAACGAAGGAAGGAAAGTAAGAAATTTATTTTAAAAAATATTTTTAATTTAAAAAATTTAGATATCTAAATTTGCCAGACGAAGAGCGTGAGAGAAAACTTTCGCGTCAATTTGAAAAATTGGATCCCGTACAGCGAAATATTTACGAAACAATTGCAGAAAAGATTTGATTTTTTGATTATTTTTTCAATTTTAATCTCATTTTGAATATTTTAAAATAATTATATAAATCCACAAAAAACATATTGTCTTCTCAATCTCTTATTTTTGTTAAATAGTTATAAATCCTTTACTTATTTGAGCAATTCACCAAAAATAATTGTATCACAAAAATAATGTTTTAGATTATTTTCTGAGGCGGTACACCTCAATTGAGTCCCCACGATTGAGTCCCCGTTGTATATACCTCATCAATTGAGTCCCCGTGGATTTAATTATATTAAAAAAGATTAAGAGGAATATTTGGGGATTTGGAGGGATTAATGTTAATATCAGGGGACTTGTATGCGACATCGAGGTATCAAGATGGATATTGGTGAATATCAAGGGATATAAGTAGATTTAAGCGGGGATATCGGTTGAATTAAGGCAGATATCAACAAATTCGGAGAGATTAAGATGGATATTGTGGGTTTGGGGATTAGGAAGGATATCGAGAGATTTTTTGAATGACAGCTCATTCGAAAGTAGTGAGTCGAATGACACGAAAATCAACATTGTTGAACAAGTTCTCGCCGAGATATGTGGCTCGAAATGGTCATCCATGGGGAATTTTTGTTGCGAAACATTCGAATAAACAAAAAATAGCTCATTCGAAAGGACTCGACGAGCTGAGTAGCCAGAACCTTCACTTTCGACTTCTATTAATTAAGAATAGCAGAATATTCTAAAATAATTTTTATTTTTCTAAGGTAATTTCATTTATGGAGGAAAATATGGCTATCTAAATGGATCTTCTTTAGCTATTTTCTAGTGACCTGGGCTTCCAAAATACACTAAAATGGAAGAAAGCTGGCTTCTTAGCCTTCCATAAGCTGGCTTCTTAGCCTTCCTTCTTAGCCTTCCATAAGCTTCTTAGCCTTCCATAAGCTGGCTTCTTAGCCTTCCATTGGCTTTTCCTTTCAAAATTCGAAAAGCTTTGCATGTGGTGCATGGATTACGATTATTAAGAGGGATTTGGAGAAAAATAGGGTTGTCAGGGAGTTATGGATTAAGAGGTATATAATGGATTGGGGATTAAGAGTATATTAAGGGATTAGGGGAATTACCCACATATTCAAATCTAGTTGAGCCATCTAAATCCGCTATTTTGACCTTAACTCACCGTTCTTCAAATCACCCTTTATCTCTCCAAATATCTACCGATATCCTCCTAAATCCACCTATAAGCATTAAAATGCTCTTAATCTCTCTTAATCCACTGATATCCCTCTTAATCCTCTGTTATCTATTAATTCCTCCCTTAATCTGTCGAAATCCACCGATATTATTTCCAAATCCGACTATATTCAACATATTTATAATTAAAAAATTTTTTAAATTGAAATCCCGGAATCCCGCGGGATCCCTCCCGTTCGATATTTTCAAACTCAATCCCGTTACGGGATCCCGGAAATGCGATTTTGCCGATCTCTAATGCAGGATATGGAATTTTTAAAATTAAATCCACGGGGACTCAATTGAGGTATATACAACGGGGACTCAATCGTGCGGGCTCAATCGTGGGGACTCAATCGTGCGGGCTCAATTGTGCCGGGACTCAATCGTGCGGACTCAATCGTGGGGACTCAATCGTGCGGACTCAGTTGAACTGCTCCGTTTCTGAGGGACTGGGGTTTGGCGCGAACTTATAAAGCAATGAAGATTGCTTATCTAGAAAAATAAAATTTTACAAGATATATAATTTCATAAATTTAGGTTTCGCCTAAGTGCCATTCTCAAGCCAAAAACTCACCAACCCTTTTCTAAGAATTTATTGATTTTTGTTAAGTACTACTAAATAAAAACCTTTACTTATTTCAAGATGTAAATTTATTATATGTTGCTTTAAGGTAGAAAATTAAAATATTGAGGGTAAACCTATACCAGTCACCGATTGGGAAAATAACCAAAGAAATTAATTTTAGAAATTAAGTAAACTTTAAGTAGGGATCAGAGGTAAGGCATTGAATTTTGCATTAAGTTTTTGCCTTGCGTTCTTCAGGATTGCCTCCTGTGCTCAACTCTGGTAGGTACAGTCAATAAAATTTTGAATCATTTTTGGTTATTAACCCAGATCAAAAATTATTACAAAATTGAATGACTGGTAGTTTATATGTGAAAATAAAAATACAATCTCTAAGCAAATGGAGGTTTGTTCGAAATTGAGTAAGTTGTGAAAAATTTGTGCTACGAGTCAAAGCAGTAAAAGATAATTCTTATTTGATACCAGGAATGGAAAAAATAAAATTCAAACAAACCACCATTTCTCCTAAACAAAATGAAAAATGAGGTTGATAATATCGGGTAAAATATTTAAAGTCTGAAAAATCTTCCAAAACATCTATTTTAATTTGTTAATTTCACCAAAATGACCTATATAATGATGGTGTAGAGTCTGGTGTTGGTTGTTGTTGCTTTATTATTGTTCCATGCCAAGGTAAAAGGTCACGATTAACAGCTAAAAAGAATTTTTTGAAAAGTAATTTAAATTAAAATATATACTAAAGTTGTCTTGTTGTCGATTGGAAGTCCCCGGCTGTTGATTCATAGTTAATCGATTAATAGGAACAGGTTGTTGACGTGTTTGTTGGACAGCTTTTTGTCGAAGCATTGATTCATCTAAAAAAATCTTTTCATCTAAAAAGCAAAAACATGGAAAAGGAATTATGAGATGATTATACAAAAATATGAAAAAACGAGAAAAATAAAATTAATTTTTCAGCTAAGAATTGAATTTAAGTTCACCTCTAAAAATTTTTAAAAAATATTCTAACAAAGGTCCAAGTTAAATAAATTCCCCAAATTCCTCAAAATTTCATAAAATAATTTTAAAAAATATTAAAAAAATTCAAACTTTGCAAAGAACGATTTATCATCTCTTTATTAGATTGATTGTGAGAATGAAAGTTTTCATGTACTCTAATTCCAGAACTTCTCCAAGTATTGCTTGAAGATTGAATATCAGAAGGGTTTCTTTGTAAAGAATTATTTCCATTAAATAATCTCATATTTTGTTGATTTGATTGTTGTAGTTGATGTAAATTTATTTGCTTTTGTTGTTGCTTTTTTGCTTTAGTTTTTTGTTTTAGTGCCAAAGAAGAAATTGGTTTAGCAGGCATACGAGGAATTGTTGTTGTTGTACCAGGCATTTTAGGTTGTGGTTGCTGAAAAATAAAAATTAAAGGATTTTTCAAAACATTGAAACAAACTAAAAAATTTCAAAAAATAAAGTTTCTTTATGAAAACTATCTAGAAAAAATATTTTTAGAAAAAATTTAAAAAATCAGGATAAAACCAAACTTTAAAAAACGATTAATCTGCAATTTATCTTCAGAATTCTATGGTTGTTATTAGAGCCCGGACTGTGAGGGTCATACGAGAAACGTACAAGATATCTCGAAAAATCTCGATAATCGATATTTTTGTTCAAGTTGTTAAGCCTCGTGGTATTTTTAACCCGAAAAGTGTTGGAAAACGTTTCCTTTAATCTTAAGGAATTTTTTAAACAAATTTTCCTATTTCTCCGTTCTCTTCCCTTTTTCTCTTTAAAATTTTTAAAAATAAAAACAAACATTCATTTGTCGATTGCTACCATCTAAAGAATCAGCCAAATCCAAAACAGCCTTCCAGCCCCTAGCAACTTCAAATGTTGTTTTCCGTATTTTTTCTGGCGGGGGAACAGCAGAATTGTCTTTTTGAGTTTGTTTAGTAGGAGAATTATTTGTAGTTGCAGATTTATTAATTTCAGAATTGTTGTTAATGTTTACTGAAGGAGATCTATCAACTTCTAAAAAATTTTAAAAAAATATATAAAATTTATTTTAAAAAATCACTTATTAATTCATACTTTTCCCGTATGTAAACAAAAACTAAACTTCCGCAAACCCAAGTTTTTAACAAAAAATCCCAATTTTTTTTATTTATTTTCCCCAAAAATTATTTTCAAAAAAACCTTCAGGAGGAGTCAAAGCACTCGATTCAGGCAAAGATTGACACGAAATAGACGATGCCCTCCCATTCCTTTCATTTTCCAATGCTTTTTGATATTCTCTCAATTTGTCACAATAAGCTCTTTTTAAATTATTTGCTTTTTCCAATTCTTTCTTTGCCAATAATTCTTTTTTATTGAATTCTTCTTTGTCTTTTTTTACTTTTTCAGCAAATATTACATTAATTCTTGCTCTTTCTTCAAGTTCTTGTTCTTTCTAAAAAATTTTTTTTTGATTTTTATTTAAGATTATTTTTAAAATAATTTATTAATATTTAGAACAAAAAGTAAAATTTATGTTTAAAACGGAATAACAAAAAAATATTTTCATAATTCCCTGTCCGGGATTTTTAAAATTAACAGAACAGAAAATTAAAGAATTAATATCTGACAAGATAAAAAAACTTTTTCAAACTAAAAAATGAAAAAAAGGCCCTACAACTTGGTCTGCAAAAATCAGGAAAATAAGATGAGGGCAGGGGCCGTACCAGCGGTAGGGGCCCCAGAAATGGGGAAAAGGAAAAATTTTTGGGAGGGGATGAAAAAAAAGTGAATTTTTCCCGTTTATAGCCCCAAAACTCCTGAAATTTTCGCCTGCAACACTAACAATCAAAATCTCTCTCTAACCCCAAAAAATCTTTTTCAAATTTAATTAAAATTACCATGGCAATTTTATTCTTCAAATCAGCAATTTGGTCAGTTAAATTATTTTGCACTTTTTGTTTAACCTCACAGTTTGCACATCTTTGATTTGTTGCTTTAAAAAAATTTAATTTTTAATTAAAAATTTAAAACAAACTCAAATAAAGCTTGTCCTGTAATTTTTGTTCAGTTTCTTTGCTTTCTTCTCTAGCATTAAAAGCCTCCTTTCTGGCTACTTCTAAAAGCCGACTTTGAACTTGAAACGCGTTCAGAACATTTTGGAGTTGGAAATTAATTTCGTCTTTTTCTGTCTGAAAATTTAGAAAATTAAAAAATATTTTAAATTTAAAAAAATTATTAACCTTAAGCTTTGTCAGTTTAGCCTCTTTTACTTTAATTTTATCAAGCGATTTTTGTTGTTCTGTTTCAAAGTGAGCATAATACTGAAAAAGATTTTTGAATTTTCTATTGTACAATCCTTTCTCAAAATTAAAAAAAAAACAAAAGCGTAGGACAACTTCTCAACATGTCAATAGAAATAGCAGAATTATAATAATGTAAATAAAAAACACAAACCTAAAAATAAACTTAAATCCAGAAAACTTAAATATTTCTCCATACAATGCTAACGAGCAGAAAACCAAATTTCCGATTTTCGGGAATCGTGAATCGGATATCAGCGCTATCCCTGCTAACGAAATTTTGACAAGTTGCCCCACACTAATATGACAAACGGGAAACAGAAACCAGAAAGAATCAAAACCCTTCAAAAATTAAATCAACCTTTTTAATTTGTTCATTTAATTGTTTTTTCGCATTATTTTGGTCTAAATTCAAAGCAGTCAAATTATCCAATAAATTCGTTTTATTAGCGTCATTTTCAGTTCTAAAAGTTTTTAATTAAAAAATAAAATTTTAAAAAAACTTGTAAATTCGAAGTTTGTCCAAAATTGAAGAAAATTTTAAATTCATTTTCCCAAGTCGATCTTTCAGTTCAAAATTTTCTTTACTTAATTTTTTGACGTGTGAAGACAGAATTATTTGACGTCGTATTGATTCTTCTGGAGTTTGTTCCTTTGGGCTTAAATTTAAATTGTTTTTTCAAATTATAATGTTTTGGGGAAAGGTCACAAATTTTTAAAATCGGAAAGCTCAAAAAGCAACACAAGATATTCACTGACAGGGAAAATTGGATTAAAAAAACGATTTTAAATTTCTTAACCTAGTTGTAAGTTAATCAGAAAAAAGTCTTACTCTGTCACATGTTTTTGTAAATCATTTAAAAGTTGATTTGATAATTTTAGTAAAGCATCATCTTCAGTTTGTACAAATTGTTCATTAGTTGTTTTTTTGCATCTGCTGTAAGTACGTTTAATTTTTGGCGGCATTCTTGTATCAAAAATGCTAAAAATATTTTTAATAGTTACAAGGAGAAATCAAATTATAATGATTAAAAACAGCTAGGCCTAATTACACTTGCAGAGATAATCAATATGTCATCGGAAGGAAAGAGCTCGACGAGGTAACCGAATGGCATAAGAAATAGTCCGCGAAAGCAATTTAATAGTTACGGCAAAAACTCGCCGCAGAGAACTTATGTAATGGGTTGACCGACTAGTCATAACTTTTGTCCAATAAAGTCAAATTTCGTTGATTTGGTGTCGGCAACTCCCCTTTCGAATGACATGTTTGTCCAAATCTGACATGAGTCCGGGACAAAAAAATAAGAATAAAAACATCTCGACTCAAATAGACACGAAGAAAAAACAATTCGATTCTTTCATTTCAATTTTCCTTTTCGAAATGTTTTTTGCGGAAATACAAATTATCAATTAATTAAATACATATATTTGAAAACACCAATTCTGACCTTAATAAGAGAAAACCCGGCTGAACTTCCAAAAAAATTTCTTACTAAAAAACGGGGGATTTTTGAATGTATTGTAAAAACGAAATTTAAATTAAAAAATAAGCTATGGAACAAGCTCAAAATTATCAACAAATAAAAAAGTACAAATACTGGAAATACCCTTTTCCCCGAGACTTACTTGAAGATAATTTGAATTTCCCGCTCTCGTTGGTCCCGCACAGCACGTAAGACGGAAGACATTTGGACGAAGAGGTTGCTCTGGATCAGTCGTTCGATGGCGATCTCGATGGCTGCAGACGCGCCGTCGAAAAACTGCGCGTCTGAGTTTACTGAAGGATCCTGGATCCAAGGGCAGATTATGATCTGGCCATCCGTCGAACTGGTAATGTGTTACCTATAAATGCAAAAATTTTTTGTTTTACTAAGCCAATGACTTACAGCCATCGGGCATGTGATGCGTGAATGTAGTCGTGCTCGCCAGATGTCCTTAAAACAACACGCGAACTGTCCAGCAACTGAATATTCCTATAGCGATTGAGTCCGGACTCAGCTCCCATGAAGGCCGTGTATGTCACGCCTGGTACTGCCGGAGAGTACCAGGCGGAGATCCTCTATGAACTGTCGACGAACCTCTTCAGCTCTGGGTTAGCGGGTGTTGCTGTAGTTCCAGCTGAAAGAGATCTTTAAAATATTTTTATCTCCTTTTTTTAAAATATTTTTTACTAACTACATAGCAGGGCTGGGCTTATTTCGCACTTTCGCGTTTCGCATTCTCGCATTTTTTGGCGCGAAAAGTTTCGCATTTCGCTTTTTATTTTTTCATTACGCCCAGCCCTGCTACATAGTACATCTAAATATAAAATTACAAAAGTTATTTTTTATTTTGTTCATTTTTAAAGCTTAAATTCCTTAAAATTATTTTTCTTCATATTTTTATCATAAATTTTATTCTTTGTGGGTAAATATGCTTTAAAATTTATGAGACAAGTCACACCTTTCCTTCTCACCTTTAATTTTGGATTTGTCGCTTCTTCTATTTTTCTAATGTCATTTACGCAATGCCACGGGGGGAAGACGTCCTTCCTCAATTTTTTTGTTTGTTTTCGTTGTATATTAAACCTGCTTTTTGATGGTTTTGTTTTTGCGATTTTGGCTGAGACCTACTTTAAATAAATAAATATATATTGTGTAACCTCTTAAATATTTTTATATTAATTATCTTCTTCTCTCCTTTTATAGACTCTCTTCTTTTAATTTCTTCTTTGTTAACAAAAAAGCTTTTCAGATTTGAAGATGATCCAATTCCATATAAAGGATAAGGGGAAGGGAAAAATAAAAGGAGAGGAAATTGTTGCGCAATCTTTTCTTAATTATAGCTAGTATTTTATTTTTGTTGTTATTATTCACTTAAATTATCACGCCTCTCAAATATAAGAAAGGACTAAATATGTTTTTCATTCTAGTTATTTTGATTTGTTTTTATTCTGTTCCAATTCCATATATCTTTATTTATGTTATAAATAGATCAAATTGAGATTCCTCTTTGGTTATAAATTCGCAACAAATATAAGCCAAATTCCTTATATTCAAAAAATCATACAATATCCTTTATAGGGTTGGGAGCTCGATCCGGCCCGATCCGAAAGGCGAGTCGGACATTGAATTTTGGCCCGAAAAAAGACTCAGTCGGGCCGGCCCAAAAAATGACTCGAATGTTGGCCCGACTCGAAAACCCTAATCCTTTACTCCCTATCTGAGCAGAGCAGGCTAACGTATAATCTCCTAAACGCTCTGATCATTCCCGAATTCCTTTAGTCGAAGAAATTGAAAAAAATTCTTGATAGATTAAATTTCTCTTTAAAAAATATTTTTTAAAGATTTTATTAAATGTTAGTAAATTTAAATAAAATAATTTTGGGAAGATGGCAACAACGACATACAGGAAACATATTTTCCAATTCTTCAACGCCAAAAATTTTCCTGAACAAAAAGTGAATAAATTAAAATTAAAAGTATTAGACCAAAAAATGTATAAAAATTTAAGTTTTCTCAATTTTCTCCAAAATATTAGCAAACTAATGAATATTTTTGTGCAGTATATACTCGATAATTATCACAATTTTGCTTAAAAATTAATAAAAATTTTCTTTCAAATATTCCCTCTCTTTCAAGCAATTTAAAGTATGTGATCAAATTTAGCCCATATTATTTTAGCCCGATTAAATTCAGCCCATATTTTTTTCCTTTCTAGTACAAATAAAAAGTAGGTTAGAGGGTCATTCTAAAATTGTGTCATCCAAATTTGAGAGAATGCAAAAGAAGGATAATTTAAATTTCTTTTATTTTTAGTATTTTTCTTCAATTCTTTTTCTTCTTGATTTTATTGTTGGATATACTTGAAAGGACAGAATCTTTAATTAGTCAAGAAGATGAGGGATATCCTGCAGTTTTGGAGGATGACGAACTAAGGATAATAAATACAAATAACGTAAGTTTCGTCCAATACTTGTTTTAATAAATACTAAAGCTCGGAATTTTGACTGGACCACCTATCGGAATACCAAAAAATACCGTTGCTAGTGTGGGCTCCAATAAAGGGCTTTAATAAAGATATCGGTAAACATGGGATAGAAAATTTATAAAAAAAGTACCTTTATTTTCCTATAAAAAATATAAGATGACCTTGTCTCACAAACATTCATTTACTAAAAAAAATAATTTTTTTTCTCAGTATAATCACCCCCATCACCACCACAATTATCATCATCACCATCATCGCGATATTTTAAATAAACATTCCCCCATTATTTTTCAACAAAATCATAACAATTACAAACAAAAATATCATCACAAAAAGAATCACAAAAGAAGAAGTCTACATTTACTACAAAAACAAACAGAAAGAAAAAGAGGGGAGGAGGAAAGTGTAGAAATTCCTTCAGCAAGAAGACCAAGGCGTTTATTTATTAAAAAACCTTTTTGGCCTTGGCCTTAGAAAATAACTGAAAATTAAAATGTTTGTATTTATTCTAATAGTGTGGCTGGCAAAGAAATAAGGACGAGTCCTTCCATTATTCCAAGAAAAATAGCCGTTTGAACGGAAACCCCAACCAAACAAAAAATGGAAATTCCAAAAATTATGGTGTAAAACAAGAGAAAAAAACAAGGGAATACACCTTCTCTTTGACAATAAAGTGTGGAGGGTTATAAGATTTTCTATTAGAATAAATACGAACATATATTTATAATTTATGAATCAACAAGTCACAACCGATTTAACGGTCCACTCTATTCCTAAAAGAGATTTTCTATTTAAACTAAAAAAAGATTTTCTTATCAAAAAAATATACACTTTTAAATATAAAATATGTAGCAACCCAAAATTAGAAATGAATTTTTACGGAAATTCCCAAAATATTTTTTAAATTGTTGATTCAACCCATAAATTTTTATATTTTTTATTATTTATTTCCCCTATTCCTCTCACCCAGAATCATACTAATTATTTTTTTGTTTTTTTAAAGATCTCTCATTTTTAATAAATTTATTATTTTATTTACTTTTTAACTAATTAATTTACTTACATTAAATTTAATTATTTGAATATAAAATTTTTTCATTTAAATCACTATTAAAAAAATCAAAAATTAACGGTTCGTCCAAATGATTTTCAAAATCTGCCAAATTTTTGTGTAATTTATTTTGAACAGCTAAAGAAGCTAAAGAAACTGTTTCGTCTGAATTTTCAACAAAATAATTAATTTCTTTCCATTTTTGAGAACTTTTTTTGGAAAAAAATAATTTTTTAAATAAACATTATTAAAAAAAACCTTTCTTGACAATAAGCTCGAAGACAAGGAGAGACTGCATTTAATGAAAGTTTGGAATTTTCTAATTGTAAAATTATTGGATTTTGGAGTTTATCTGAAGCTATTTTCATCCATTGTTCGTCAAAACTTAAAAAAATAATTTTAAATAATTGGTGGGAAAAAAGTAAAAATTAGTTTTTAAAATAAAGATTTTAAAAATAAAAAAACATTAATAATTTTTAAAATATTATTTTAGAAAAATAATTTGTTATATTTTCCTCTTTAATTAAAAACGAGGGAGACTCGATTCCATAATACTAAAAACCTGATCAGCTACAACTTTTCGATTTTTGGGGCCAAAAAAGGGACAGAAAAAACAGGGCCAAAAAAGCAAAAAATTGGCAAAAGGTTACCAACCCTGCTCTACACGATGGTGTAAAAAATTACGAAATTTTTTGTACCAGTTCTGAACATTTCCTAGCAAGATTTTACTAAATTATTTGAAATTTTGGCCTAGTACTCCAGAACTCTATAATCTCCCTCTAATTCCCAATAACCAAAAAAAACTTCAAAACAAACCTATTATTCATAAAAACATTATTAGCATAATAAAGCCCAACAATTTCCAAATGCCTTTCACGGCAATAAACATCCAAATGAATAAACAAAATTTCTATAGGAGGCACAACCAATGCAGAATGCAATGCCGGGATGACATCCAAAACTTCTATACAACCTTCAGAATTATTTTTACCAAGCAAAACACCTCTAGAAAATTAAAAAAACTTTTTAATTTAAAAATAAAAATTTACTTAATTTGACAATGTGGATATTTAAATGCATGCAAAATAATTTTACAATAAGAAATTGAAGAAATATTTATTTTTTCCATTTTTCTAAAAATTCTAAAAAAATTATTGTTAAATTATAAATAAAAATTTAAGAAAATAATTATAAGGATTTTTAACATTATTTAAAGAAAAAATTTTTTTTTCAAAATATTAAATTTATTTTTCTATGAGATCACAAGCAAAACAAATTTTTCCAAAAAAATTTTTTTTCAAAAAAAAATTTCCTATTCAGTCCCAGCATGATTTAAATAATGATAAGCCTTAAAATTTCCAATTCTTTGCCCATTATCATAATGAAAAGCAGTAAAACAAGTTGAACAGAAAAATGCTGGGGAATTTGGCAAACGATCACTTTCAGTAACCACAAAACTCGAAATTTCGTCGCTACAAGCACAACAAAGTTTTTGGGTTTTGATGTCAAAAAGACGAATTGGGTAATCTTCGATACGTTGAATGTCTCTAGGAAGTAATAAACGCAAATCGGTGAATATAATCCTTTTGAGAAAATTATTTATATAAATTTAAAGAAAATTTTCTCATAATTTAACCAAAATATGTGGGTTTCGGTTAAACATCTTAATTTAATTATAGATAGGATTGCTCACTACTAAATATTCTATTTATTCACCAGTAACCTCCTCACCCATGGCTTTCTGTTAATTCGAATTTTAAAAACACTGGTTTTCATTTTGAAATCTATTCTAATTAAATACATGCTTCTGAGGGAATAAAAAAATTCATTGTTAAAAAATTTTAAATTTTTTAACAAACAGGTCGCGAAAAAAACTATTTCCCCGAGAGAACATCAAGAAACGATCTCTTAAAATATATTTTTATAAGCCTATAAAAACCTACAGATGCTCACAAAATCCTTGATGAACATAAACATAAGGTTGACCCAGTCTCAATTTAAAATCAATAATCTTAACTCCAGCCATGTCTTTCACGTAAAATTCTCCAAAATCTTTTTTCTTTCTTTTCATAAATTCTCTTATTGGTCTTAAAATAATTTTTAAAAAATCTAATTAAAAAATAAATACTCGCTAATATCAATAGAATTTGCTCTCCTTTTGTCAACATAAAATGTGTCGTGGACAAAAATAAAACTTGAAGGGAATTTGTGCTAAAAATTGAGGAAATTATAAAAAAAATTAACAAAATATACATCAAAATAACATTCAGGATCAGGCGGAACAATTTCAAAATCCTCATAATTCGACCAAAAATCGGAAGCACAAAATATTTTCTCACGAAGTTTGACAAGTGGCATATCTCCACGGACTAGAAATTTAACTTCTGTTCGATTCTAAAAAAATTTTTTTAATTTTTAAAAACATTAAAAAAACTCAACCTTGAGCGAATCCTGTATTTCTGGAGTGCGATTGTAAGGCTTTAGTAATTGAACAGTAAGGACAATGTCTTTATCACAAGTGGAATTGGGAGGAGTGTAATACCGCCTTAACTCCTAAAAACAAATTTTGGTAAATTATTAAAAGACAAAGTAAAATTGAAGTTAATACACCTCCTCTTTTTTCCTTCCTCAAATTATTAAAAATGGTCAGATTTTGCTTCCTTCCTCAACTTATTCTGGACGTTCACATGAATAAAAGGTTTATAAAGATGTGACTCTTTCTTCATTTTTTATACATTGTCAAACTTAAAACTAGTAATACTTATTGACTAGCCATAAGGATATAGTGTAGCTGAGGAAAGAAGCAAAGTCCGACAATTTCTAAAACATTGAGGATGGATAAGAGGGGGGGGGGGAATGAACTTTAATTTTAACACAAAGAAACCTGTTCTCGATATTTAAAATATTTTCCATTCCTCACAATAGCATTCTTTGTGGCACTAGTTTTATTTGTCCGTCGAATATCATGGAGAACTCTTAACAAAAAATTTACAAAAAAAAAGGTTAAAATACTTGTGTGTCATAAGTTGGCTGTCTTTTGGAGGAAAAGTTATTTCATATTCATCCATAGGGCTATCATCCAAAATTTGAGTTAAAAATCCACTAAAAGAGAAAAATTACAAAATTTTAGAAATTAAAAAACAAACTCAGCAGTTTCAATGACAGAATTTGATTCTTCATTATTTAATCCACGTGCTGCCAAAAACTGACGAAAAATATCACGAGAATCATGACTTTCGCTTGAACCAAAAAAATTTCGCAAACGATCACTGCGAAAAGTTGCTTCAGCCAAAAACTTTTGGAGGTCAATTATGGGAGAAATAAAATGTTTTTCATCACTTTTAAATAAATTATCCAGCGACATTAAATTTCCAAATTTACTTAAAAAAAAGTTGAAAAATTAATAAATTAAACAAAAATCGGTAATTCCGAGGGCTCTGCTGCAATTTATCCTGTCTGTTCCGTGAGTTGGAATTTTTCGAGTTAGCTCCCACCCAACAAGTCTCCCACCAAGTCGTACTATTTTAATTGTTTACGTTGACCATTTTGAGCCTTTTTATCTCGACTCAGAATAAATGTTTCATTGGACTCATAAACTGTGATTGGACTCATAAACGCTCCATCTTATAGCCTGGCCCCCCCCCCCTTTTTCCTTCCCTAAGATTTTACTTGAATATGCCACAGGGCAAATAGGAAAAAGAGGAAGATATGACCATTATTTACAATCTTAGGGAAGGAAGAAGGGAAAATAGGCCATCGTCCGCTTGTAAAAAACAATTTATTAGTAATGTTTGTTTTTTCTGTCTTCATTCTTATATTTTTTGATTTTTGTAATTGATTTTTTGAAGTATGTTTTGGAAAGTCCTACTATTTTAATTTTGGTTCAACAAACGTTCCTTCTTCTTTTTCTTTAACAAAACTTATATTTTTCTAGTTTTAGATTTATTTATTTATTTATTTATTTGCCTCTTGGGCGACATTACAAATTTGAAAATACATATATGGATTGAAAAAATAAATTAAGTCAAGTTGAAAATTAAACTAAAAGATTAAGTAATTTATTCTCTATATACAATGGCATCATCTCCAGACTATATTGATACAAAGTTTATTTTTAAATTGTTTATTTGTAAATATTACTTTAAGAAACTTCGATAAAGATTACACGCCGCAAATGATTGCTGAGGAGCTCAAGCTTGGTGATAAATTTGTTGAGTGGTTGTCCAAAGAAAAATTTTCGGAAGAAAGCTCACTTCTCGTTTTGGATTATGTTGGCATTGACCTCCAGAACCAGGATGCTATTAAGAATGCTTTGGTAGGGTTAATTCTAATAAATTAGGGTTCTGGGATTACTTGCCAAAACTAGGCAAAAATTTTGGGTTGCTGAAACAGTTACAGAATTGAAAACTTTTCGCTATTTTAGTGTATTTGCGTGAAAATTTTTCTACATTCGGGATTAGTTTATTTCTCACTAATTTTTTAGATCGCAAACAAGGCGGAGGCGACTATATTTGACACCATCTTCAAATTCAAAAACTCGCGTGAGCTTCGTGATGCTAAGCGTGGGGTGCAAGCTACCGTGCCTTGGGCGTTTTACAATTCAACTGCTCTGGAAAAATCCTATCGAGGTGACAACGAAGAATTGATTGTCTTTACTTCTGCGCCAACTATCCTTACATCAGTGGTTTTGTTCTTCGACTATAAAATTGAAGTTTTGAGTATGCAACCATCCGCATTTTTTGAAGCGTAACTTTATAATTTTGACATGAATTAAGTTCTCATAAAATTTATATTAAATAAAATGATTTTCATTAATTCTATTGTTAAACATTTTAAATATTTTTTACTAAATGCGAAATTTATTCATTCTAACATAGGATTTATTTATTCTAAACCCCCCCCCCCCCTCTCCGAAATAGGGAAAAGGAAAAAATTTGGGGACAGCGGCGCAAAAATTCTATGCTCATTTGGAACTTAAAAAATGGCAAGCAATTTGTTCTTAAATATTTGATACTCCTTACTTATTTTAGGCTTAATTTTTTGTCTTTTTACTTAAAAAATAAGCGTAAATTAACTAATTTTTATTTATAAAAATGTAAAGCAATTTATTAACACAATATTTTTAAAGCACTTTTTTCTTTTTTAATTAACTTCATCATAGAAAATCCGAGCCAAACAAAATCGGCAAAAAAAGGCAAATATAGAACACAAAATTTGTAAAATAATAAATTTATTTATTAATTCCCATTCAAATTGAGGTCCATTGAATTTTAATAACAAGTTGAGGATTGTTAAGTTATTCATTGACACCCAACTAAATTTAAGGAATTTAAAAAGGAATAAATTACGTCTTGGCTCCGAGAACCTGTTCTAATAACCGTCGAAATTTTAAAGCAGCCAGAACAAAAATAATGGTATGGTCAAAAAAATTAGAACCGAGGAACCATTCGATTTTTGTACCCAAGACATCTCCAGAATTAACAATAAGCTAATTTTGTCAAAATCCCAAAGGAAAAGTTTTGTCATTAGCAATTTATTATTAAAAAAAACTTGCAAACCTTTCTCCATCTTTAATGTATTCCTTGTAATAAATTAATCTAGTCATTCCAAGTATTCGAAAACAAAGATTTCCAATTTTTGACAATTTGTGAGGTTGAAATTCTACCATGCTCATTTCTAATTTTCCATTTTCATTTAAACGTGGAAGTCGATGACGAGGACAGGGAACGAAATGAAAGAGTTGTGGACAGGAAAAAATGAAATTTATTATCTAAAAATGAATTAAAAAATAAAAATAAAATTACAAAGAAAACCTGTGGAAGAAGAAAAAGCAACAAAGTTTTTGAAAAACGTCCAGTTAAAGCAGAAACTGCAATTGTCATTCCAGCCCAATAACAATAAGTATCGCCAACAAATGCTTTGGCTGGATATTTGTTGATAATAAATAAAGCTGTTGATGTGCCAATAAAAGGAAGAATAAAACAAAGGGAAAGAACGTGATGCCATAATTGTATTGAATCTATTGAACGGATAACCTAAAAATGAGGAATTAAATGAAAAATTTGTAGAATGAAAGAGAACGATGTCTACAAATCAAATACAAGACCCAGACATTTCAATCAAAAAAGGAAATCATTTAGAGTAACTATGAATTCGATTAAGTACCATTCGATACCATTAGGTACCATACTTAGGTATCATTCGATAGAGGACCCTTGCAAAATGACTGTTGGCCGAGTTATAGCCATTCAAATTTGGACCGCAGTGAATTATAGGGGTAAAGGAGCAACTTCTCTTTTCTTTTCCCTACTCAGAAAACCAAAAAAATTTTCGAAAAATATTCAAAAAATAACCTGAATTGTATTAAAAACCGCAATACTAGCTGTAATAACCAAAGACTGTCCAACCTCAACTCCATTAATTCCAGCAATTATATTAATTGCATTAGTGCAAAAAATAACCAGAGAAACCATATAAACATAATAAAACGGCCCAATATCCAAAAAGCTAGCACCTCCCAAATATTTTTGTAAAAAATGTGGCAATAAAACAGCTGTGGAATTTTCTGAAAAAATTAATTAAAAGAATTTAAATATTTTCAAACTTGAAAGAAGGTAAACTAAAAGAAGAGGCATAGAAGAAAGTGTTGGAAATAAAAGTTTGTGGCGCCAACGAAGGTCAAGAATATCATCTGCAAATCCCAATAAAACAGCTGTACAGATACTTACAAGTCCAGCCAAAAGAGACAGCAAATTGAGAAAAGAAGAATTATCACTTAAATAAAGGAAAAAATTTTCATTTAAAAAAATTTTTTCAAAAATTTTGGAATTTATTTTTCCAATTCCAGAGGGAAGGGGCTGTTTCTCAGATACGCCCTCGGTTATTAAAATATTTTTCGAAAAAGAGATACCATTCAATGTTTGTTGATCCATTTTCACCAGTAAATATTGCCCTCTGATTTATTAAATCATAAAAAGGTAGTGGAATAAAAGTGAAAAGAAAAATTAAATAAATCGCTGCAGCGATAACCCCAATAGGTTCTGGTACTGGCTTTTTATCTAACTGAAAATTTGAAATTAAATAAAAAAATACTTTTATAACAAACCTTACATTGATCTAAACCATAAAGTTTTCGTTGAATAAATATAGGCAAAAATTGTAACATAAAATGATAACTTGCCAAACCAGCCAGTAAACTCATCAAAATATTTATAAATAAAACAACTAATGCACGCCAAAACATTTTTATTTGATCTGTATCAGAATTTTTTGCTAATTTATAACTAGAAAATATGACAAAAATTGGGCAAAAACTCTGGCAACTTTAAGGGAACTTTAGTCAGTATTTTGAATGTTGATATTACAAATTTGAATGATTGTTTTGTCAATAAAAAAGAAACTTTTGGAATAAATTCCGCATTTAGTAAAAAAATATCTAAAATGTTTCTCAACTTACGTAAAAACAATAGAATTAACGAAAATCATTTTATTCAATATAATTTTATGAGAACATAATACATGTCAAAATTAAAAAGTTACGCTTCAAAAAAATCGGATGGTTGCATACTCAAGACTCCAATTTTATAGTCGAAGAATAAAACCACTGATGTAAGGATAGTTGGCTTCCTAGTATATTCAATCCATTCTCTGTTGGGACCTTGATAGCCCACATCCAGAGCAGTTGAGTTGTAAAACACCCAAGGAACTGCATACTTCACCCCACGCTTAGCATCACGAAGCTCACGCGAGTTTTTGAATTTGAAGATGGTGTCAAATATAGTCGCCTCCGCCTTGTTTGCGATCTAAAAAATTAGTGATAAATAAACTAATCCCGAATGTAGAAAAATTTTCACGAAAATACACTAAAATAGCGAAAAGTTTTCAATTCTGTAACTGTTTCAGCAACCCAAAATTTTTGCCTAGTTTTGGCAAGTAATCCCAGAACCCTAATTTATTAGAATTAACCCTACCAAAGCATTCTTAATAGCATCCTGGTTCTGGAGGTCAATTCCAACATAATCCAAAACGAGAAGTGAGCTTTCTTCCGAAAACTTTTCTTTGGACAACCACTCAACAAATTTATCACCAAGCTTGAGCTCCTCAGCAATCATTTGCGGCGTGTAATCTTTATCGAAGTTTCTTAAAGTAATATTTACAAATAAACAATTTAAACAGTTTAAAAATAAACTTTGTATCAATATAGTCTGGAGATGATGCCATTGTATATAGAGAATAAATTACTTAATCTTTAATCTAAAACTAGAAAAATATAAGTTTTGTTAAAGAAAAAGAACAAGGAACGTTTGTTGAACCAAAATTAAAATAGTACGACTTTCCAAAACATACTTCAAAAAATCAATTACAAAAATAAAAAAATATAAGAATGAAGACAGAAAAAATAAACATTACAAATAAAAAACCAAATAATCGAATAAGAATCTATTGATCTTTTTACAAGCGGAGGATGGCTGAGTCCTGGAATACAGATTTTTGTTTTTGCGTAATTTTTTGTTTCAAGTGATAGTCATGCATATAAACCGTGCCCGCACAAAATACCGAATTCTCAAAATCGCGAATCGGCTAAAAAAGCTCAAAATACCGAATCGGGAAAAATATCTCAAAATATGGAATCGGCCAAAAAAGCTCAAAATATGGAATCTTAAAATATCGAATCTCAAAATCTCGAATAGGCTAAAATGCTCAAAATACCGAATCGGCTAAAAAGTAGTTAAAAATGTCGAATTTTTTAAAAACGAAAAGGGCCGTTTGAGTGCCGCCAATTGAGTGCAGGTCTTTTTCATTTATTCAGGGGTCTGTATCTCAGTCCAATAAAGTCGGATTTCATTGATTTTGGTGTCAGTCGATGCAGCTCGACGTGCTCTTTCAAATGAGCTATCATTCGGAAAATCGAAATTCGGTTCGGGATTCGAAGCTCGGTTCGGGTCTGGGATTCGACTTTTTCAAAATCAGAGCTCAGATTCGTAATCAGCATATTTTTTTACCCTAGAAAAACCCTTTTGCATATTTTTAAATTTTTTCGAAGTTGTTGATAAAATTGTTCAGACTCAACTGGCTTTTGCCGCATTGTCGATATTTTGAGCTTTTTTGGCCGATTCGATATTTTGGGATTCCATATTTTGAGATTCGATATTTTGAGATTCCATATTTTGAGCTTTTTTAGCCGATTCGCGATTTTGAGATTCCATATTTTAAGAATTCGGTATTTTGTATGGGAGCCCAGAAGTTTACTAAACAATAGTCCACATGGTAGAAATAGAGGAAAACAGACAAAACACTATTACGCACGAGAAAAAAAGAAAAGCCCAAAAAATCAAGTATGAATGAGATCGAACAACCTGATCTAAGGAAATCTTGAATTTTCGATTTCACTTCCCGACAATATTAAAAAAGTTGTCAACGTAATGTTTTAAATAACTTATTAACATTAAAATTTCTCAACTTAAAAACAAGAAAATTCACATAAATTAGAAAATCACTTTATTCTAAATAAATTTATGAGAACATAATATTGCGCTTATAAAATTACGCCTCAAAAAAATTGCCTAATGTCATATGCAAAACTCCAGTTTTGTCACTGAAAGAAGTGACAACCGCAGAAAGAATTGTTGGCGTCCTCGTATATTCCACTAATTCTCTGTTGGTGTCAAAGTTCGGTTCGATTAGGTCCTACAACACTTGTTCCAAAATATAAATAAAATATTTAATCCAAATATTTTCCAAATAATTAATTTATTCCAACAATAAATAATAATATAAATCGTAGAGAAAGGGATTTAGTTAATACATAATGAATGCTTAAAAGTCAACTTAAGGGGAAAAATCCTTAGTTTTATAGGAAATCACTTAGCGCCACTAAGGGCGATCATTCTCAAGCTTAATCATCGCCACTAAGGGCGGAAATATTATATTAGCGCTAATAAATAAAAACTTAATCGCTACAAAGAGAGAAAAAATGATTAAGTTTAAAGAAATAAGGGGACAAAGATTAAAAAAGAAAGAAATAGGAACACGTGAAAAATGTGTGAAATAAATAAAAATTTATTAATATTTTCCTAAAAATGTCGAACTTCGACATCCTCCCACTTTAGGAGAAATTGGTTCCAGACATCCTTCTTTTGTTCTTTGCATCCTTGCCATTTGTGCGCATATTCTTATGTGCCAGTTTTTGTTGATAGTTGCCATTTGTTGTAGCTCTTGTTTGCTTAGTTGTCTAGCTGTGGCTCCAACGCCTAATTTGTTGCCTGGTTCATTCCTTGGTTCTGCAAAGTTTTTACTGGGATAAAATTCCCGAAATCGGTTTTTGCTGCTATTGCTCACAAAGGAGCTTTGAGTTCCCGCATTAATTGCTCCATTTAAATTTTTCTTACCGAAATCTTTATCATTCACTGACATCAGCGGGGTACCCATTTTGTTCAGATTGATGAGGATTGATTGTAGATGTTCAGGCTCTTTAAATGATGTGACATTAACTAGGCCATGAATCTCTAGTCCCTCCAATGGTTTAATCCAAACAATTTTCTTCAAAATTTTCTTATACTCGTTTGCCTTTTTCAGGACTTCAAAGAGTCCTTTGTTAATGCTTTGCGTCCACAGTACTAACGTGTCTACGCTTCTAGTGAGCTGAATCTCTCTGATGAAGAGAGTTGCGTCCCATGATTTTGGTTTAAAAACCATTCCTCTTAGCTTTTCCTCTCTTAATATTCTTCGAAGCTCTAAGGCTCTGTCATCTCCAATAACTACTATAGGTGACCTTGCCACTAACGGCCTTCTGTTGATAATTGGTTGCGCACTAACACGCGTTTTCCGTTTTGAACTAGATGGCTTCCATTCGTCCTCTAACGGACTTATTATTGATTTAGTTTTCTCATATTCTAATTTTTGGATACTAACCACCTTGTTCCTATTTATTTCCCCTTTTTCTATCTCAACTTTCTTTTCTGGAATTTGTTCAACTTCCAAAGGTCCCTTATTATGGATGTGTGCGCCTAGTGCTTCATTAAATCTATCCTTATCTTTCTTTTCGATTTTTATAAACGAATTTTTTCTGGTGGGTACATTCGGAACCAACGTATTCGTCTCAACATGTATCCCTCCCCCCTTAAAAATTTTTTGAGCGACCTTCTCGGATCTAAGTCCGTAATCCTTCACTAGATTACCACTGACCCCTAACGGTCTATTATAATAGTCCGTTTCAACGGACTGAAAAGCCGCAACTATTTCCTTTTGTGTAGTTGTGGCACTAACGCCTTCATTTTCCTTTTGTATTTCTTTCGCTTCTCCGAATTTGCGCTCGCACAATGCTGAATGATGATGCGCTCTTCCGCAATATAGGCATCTTCTTTTTGGGACGTGACAGTTGCTGGCGAAATGTCCTTTTTTGAGGCACTTGAAGCAAAGTCCTTTTTCACTTGCTCTTTCTCTTCTTTCTTCTGCAGTTCTAAGACTGATGCATTCTACCGGTGTATGCCGTCCACCGCAGAACTGGCAAGGCCATTTTGTCGGACTTCCAGAGCTGCTTGATTCTCTTTGTGGACATTTCTTTGTAATTCTTTGACTTCTTGTCGGGTTAAAATACCCGGTATTACTTGATTCTTGTTTGAATTGTATTAAGTTGGATCTACTTTCTTCTCGACCTCTAGGTCTTTCAACTCTATCGGGTGAAAAGCTGCTTGTAGTCTTTTTGGTCATACAATTCACTGCGAAATTCATAGTCGGTTCTTCTATCCAGTCCCTAACGACCTGAGTGGGCTTCTGTTTTACTTCCAATCTATTTCTAATCTGATTGATAGCACGCCCTAAGGCGTTTCTGAATTTTGCTGTATTCCAATTATCATTATCCTCTGCATCTTTAATATTAAAATATTTTCCCAAAACTTTGGTAGACACTTTTCCTTCTAAAGTCATGAAATACGGAGCCTCATCTATGTTCTGGTTCAACGATTTCAACTGTCTACACAATTTTTCAATTCTCAAATAAAGCTTCTCATCTTCTTCGAAACTTTCGGAATTCGGTAAATTTAATAATTCCTGGTTCAAAGACCGAATCAACTTCTTTTCACTCCCAAATTTCGCTAACAAAAGATCTATTGCCGTATTGTAACCTTCGTTTGTCATTTGCAGACCTCCTAACAGGTCTTTTGCTTCGTTGTCTAAAATAGATTCTAAAATATTAAACTTCTCTACATGGCTCATTGAGTTGTCTTCGTGTATTAAAACACGGAATGTTTCCCAGAACGAACACCAATTTTCTATATTACCGTCAAAGCGGCGTAATTGGATTGCTGGCCTCTGTAACCTCTTCATTTCTACATTACTCGAGGTCTGAGACTCGTTTGTAGATTCTTCTAAATCGATAGGCAAGTCAAGTCTTTGAGCCAGACTGATTCGATGCTGCTTCCAATTGGCCAAATGTGTATTCGCAGCCTCCAGAATATTCTTAACTGCTGCCTCTTTTACCCATCTGCCATACTGAGCTAATTTCTCATCCCGCACTGAGGCAGGCACTGAGGCAACACTTGTTCCAAAATATAAATAAAATATTTAATCCAAATATTTTCCAAATAATTAATTTATTCCAACAATAAATAATAATATAAATCGTAGAGAAAGGGATTTAGTTAATACATAATGAATGCTTAAAAGTCAACTTAAGGGGAAAAATCCTTTTACCCATCTGCCATACTGAGCTAATTTCTCATCCCGCACTGAGGCAGGCAGTCTTTCAATTTTCTCCTTTATCTTATCATCTGCCTCCCCTACTATCACTAGACTTTCCTCAAAATCCTTAATTGTCTCCTTAGTCCAGTACAACTGCCTTCTCAACTGATTAACAGTTGCTTCAGGCCCTAAGTCCTGTGGCAGTTCCCGAACTAAACAAATTTTTAGCTTCCCCAACGAAGTTTCATACTTTAAAGTAATGTACTCCGTCATTTTTCTCTTTTACCCAGGAAACTAAGTTCCTTTTACTAAACTCTATCAAATTCTAAAATGTATTGAATCTGAGCCAAAGTCAGTTCAATTTTTTAAAAAATTTTAAACCCTATTTTTAGATTAATTCTAATCTATCCCCAAAATTTAAATTAACTTTCCCAAGTTAATCCTAGGTGAAAAAAATTTTAAATTTTAATTTGGCTCTTCCAGGCCTTTTAATTAAATTTATTTAAAAATAAATTCACCTCCCAGCAAGTGTTGTCCAAGTTTGATGCCGTGCTCGCCAGCTGTCAAAGTTCGGTTCGATTAGGTCCTACAACACTTGTTCCAAAATATAAATAAAATATTTAATCCAAATATTTTCCAAATAATTAATTTATTCCAACAATAAATAATAATATAAATCGTAGAGAAAGGGATTTAGTTAATACATAATGAATGCTTAAAAGTCAACTTAAGGGGAAAAATCCTTAGTTTTATAGGAAATCACTTAGCGCCACTAAGGGCGATCATTCTCAAGCTTAATCATCGCCACTAAGGGCGGAAATATTATATTAGCGCTAATAAATAAAAACTTAATCGCTACAAAGAGAGAAAAAATGATTAAGTTTAAAGAAATAAGGGGACAAAGATTAAAAAAGAAAGAAATAGGAACACGTGAAAAATGTGTGAAATAAATAAAAATTTATTAATATTTTCCTAAAAATGTCGAACTTCGACAGTTGGGACCTCGATACCACTTTTCCAGATCAGTTGAGTTGTAAAATGCCCAAGGAACTGCAAACTCCACCCGACGCTTAGCATTACGGAGTTCAGTCGAGTCTTGGAACTTAAATATATTTCCAAAATCAGTCGCCTCAGCACCAGATGTGACCTATCAAATTAGAGTTAAAATAACCCAGAATATAAATTAACAAAATACACCTCATTTCTTAATTGTTAAAGTACTATAATTTCTATCTGGCAATGACAACTAATACCAGAACCCTAATATATTTCAAATAAAACTAACTAAAGCATTTCTAATCAGCGCCCGGTTGTCAAGATTCAAACAAACACCGCCAACAAAGTCCAACACCAGAAGAGGGTCGCCATTTTGTTTGGTCAGCCATTCTTCAAATTTTGGACCAAGATGGAGTTTATCGGCAATAACTTTTGGAGTCAAATCTGGATCACGATTTCTTAAATTAATAAATATTTACAAGAAACAATTTAAAAATAAACTCCGTGTCAATGTCAACAATGTCCAATGATGAAGTCATTAATAAAGAGAATTAAATTAAACTTTAATCTAAAAACTAGAAAAATAGTTTTGTTAAAGAAAAGGAATGGGAAACTTTATTGAACTAAAATAAGTCTAGTACGAGTTTGTGAACATACGACAAAAAATTAAAACAAAAAACAAAGATGTAAAATATTGTACTAAAAATGAACATCAAAAATAAAAAACAAAATAATCGAATAAGAGACTCTATTGTTCCTTTTGCAACCAAGAGTCTCGAGACGAAACGGCCATATTTAGGGTTGGGGTCAGTTGGGCGTGGGCAGTTGAGCGTCAACCGACGTTGATCGGCTATAACTTTTTGCTGGTTGATCCAATACTAATGAATCATATAGCATTCGAAAGCCCTCGTTAAGCGCTATATTTTTTCAATTGGGTGATCATGTTTGATCGCTATTTAAAAAGTTACAATTCGATAAGCGTGAAAAACAACGATTTCTTGAACTTATCGACTCGTAACTTTTTAACGGTGTTCAGACTTATCTATCCAGTTGGGATAAAGATTGGGCTCATCGAGGGCTTTCGAATGATATAAGATTTATTCTGATACGATCAAGCTTAAAAAAGTTATAGTCGATTAAAGTCGGCTGACGCTCAACCGACCATGCTCAACTGGCCGCTCCGCCATTTTACGTTTTTTAGAGTCTGGCGTGATCCTGTGTTAAGATTCTAAATCCGTGTTATTTCATGATCTGATTATATTGGTCGGTTATCCGGAAGAATCCGGCATGGGCGCGAACTTCAAACTCTGGCTTCCGAAACCGGAAAAAATATTTTTACCAGACACTATTGGTGAAATTCGGGTTTGGAACACAAAATTTACACAAAGGGTTTAATAAATATTCCTTACATATGTACATATTAGAGACCAGCAAAATCGCATTTGCGGGATCTTGCATGCGGGAGTAACTTTTAATGTCTGCGGGAGGGACTCCCGCGGGAATAATCCCGCAAAATCCCGCACTCCCGCAAAATCCCGCAAATCGAAAAAAGTGCGGGATTGCGGGAGCGGGATCCCGCAAAATCCCGCGCGGGAGTCCCTCCCGCGCCGGTCTCTAGTACATATGTGAGTAAAATACTTGTAGGCACAAAAAGGCATCAAAAGGCACAAAAGGCATCATGTAGGCACAAAAAGGCCAATGAAACATTTATTCTGAGTCGAGATAAAAAGGCTCAAAATGGTCAACGTAAACCTATGTTGGGTGGGAGCTAACTCGAAAAATTCCAACTCACGGAACAGACAGGATAAATTGCAGTGTAGTCCTCGGAATTACCGATTTTTGTTTAATTTATTAATTTTTCAACTTTTTTAAGTAAATTTGGAAATTTAATGTCGTTGGATAATTTATTTAAAAGTGATGAAAAACATTTTATTTCTCCCATAATTGACCTCCAAAAGTTTTTGGCTGAAGCAACTTTTCGCAGTGATCGTTTGCGAAATTTTTTTGGTTCAAGCGAAAGTCATGATTCTCGTGATATTTTTCGTCAGTTTTTGGCAGCACGTGGATTAAATAATGAAGAATCAAATTCTGTCATTGAAACTGCTGAGTTTGTTTTTAATTTCTAAATTTTGTAATTTTTCTCTTTTAGTGGATTTTTAACTCAAATTTTGGATGACAGCCCTATGGATGAATATGAAATAACTTTTCCTCCAAAAGACAGCCAACTTATGACACACAAGTATTTTAACTTTATTTTTTTGTTTTTATTATTTTTATTTCATGATATTCGACGAACAAATAAGACTAATGCCACAAAGAATGCTATTGTGAGGAATGGAAAATATTTTAAGTATTGGAACAGGTTGTTTTTAAAAATCTTTTTGAAACTTGTTTTTAGAGTTAAAAATGTATTACACTCCTCCCAACTCTACTTGTGGTAAAGGCATTGTCCTTACTGTTCAGTTACTAAAGCCTTACAATCTCACTCCAGAAATACAGGATTCACTCAAAGTTTGGATTTTTTGGAAAACAAAAAAAATTTTTAGAATCGAACGGAAGTTAAATTTCTTGTCCGTGGAGATATGCCTCTTGTCAAACTTCGTGAAAAAATATTTTGTACTTCCGATTTTTGGTCTAATGAGGATTTTGAAATAGTAGATTTGAGTTTAATTTAATTCTCTTTATTAATGGCATCCTTTTTGGACATTGATACAGAGTTTATTTTTAAATTGTTTATTTGTAAATATTTATTCTTTTAAGAAATCGAGATCCAGATTTGACTCCAAAACTTATTGCTGAAAAACTCAATCTTGGTCTAAAATTTGAAGAATGGCTGACCAAACAAAATGGCGACCCTCTTCTGGTGTTGGACTTTGTTGGTGGTGATTGTTTGGATCTTGAAAACCGGGTGCTGATTAGAAATGCTTTAGTTAGTTTTATTTGAAATATATTAGGGTTCGGGTATTACTTGTCATTGCCAGATATATTCTGGGTTATCTTAACTTTTTAATTTGATAGGTCGCTAATGGTGGTGAGGCAACTGCTTTTGGCAACATATTCAAGTTCCAAGACTCGACTCAACTCAGTAATGCTAAGCGTCGGGTGAAGTATGCAGTTCCTTGGGCATTTTACAACTCTTCTCCTATGGTCGAGGGCTATCAAGGCGCCAACAACGAATGGATTCAATATACTCGAACGCCAACAATTCTTTCTGCGGTTGTCACTTCTTTCAGTGACAAAACTGGAGTTTTGCATATGACGTTAAGCGATTTTTTTGAGGCGTGATTTTACTGGTGAAAATGGATCAACAAACATTGAATGGTATTTATTTTTTTCGAAAAATATTTTAGTAACCGAGGGCGTATCTGAGAAACGGCCCCTTCCCTCTGGAATTGGGTAAATAAATTCCAAAAATTTTGAAAAAAAAAACCTAGCAGCATTTAAAACGCTTAGGCGGGGGTTTAAAAACGCTTAGGCAGGGCCTAGCAATAACTGTCAGGAGGTCGCAGGTTCGAATCCTGCCCGGTGGCTAAACTTTTGCAAACTCTTTCTCAAACATGACTTCTCAATAGGAATTCGGGGGTCTTCTATCGAATGGTACCAAAAAATATAGCAAATTTGCTGCTATGGTAAACGATGTTCCTTTGTTAGATCCTTTTTTTATCGAAGTCAGTCAAGCTCCTTATTTCCTTTTTTTCTTTTTAGGTTATCCGTTCAATAGATTCAATACAATTATGGCATCACGTTCTTTCCCTTTGTTTCATTCTTCCCTTTATTGGCACATCACCAGCATTATTTATTATCAACAAATATCCAGCCAAAGCTTTTGTTGGCGATACTTATTGTTATTGGGCTGGAATGACAATTGTAGTTTCTGCTTTAACTGGACGTTTTTCAAAAACTTTGTTACTTCTTCTTCCACAGGTTTTCTTTGTAATTTTATTTTTATTTTTTAAATTCATTTTTAGATAATAAATTTCATCTTTTCTTGCCCACAACTCTTTCATTTAATTCCTTGCCCTCGTCATCGACTTCCACGTTTAAATGAAAATGGAAAATTAGAAATGAGCATGGTAGACTTTCAACCTCATAAATTGTCCAAAATTGGAAATCTTTGTTTTCGAATACTTGGAATGACTAGATTAATTTATTACAAGGAATACATTAAAGATGGAGAAAGGTTTGCAAGTTTTTTTTAATAATAAATTGCTAATGACAAAGCTTTTACTTTACCTGGTTGTCCCGTATCCAAAAAATCGAATGGTTCCTCGGTTCTAATTTTTTTGACCATACCACTATTTTTGTTCTGGCGGTTGTAAAATTTAGACAATTATTAGAACTGGTTCCCGGAACCGAGACATAACTAATTTCTTTTTAAATTCCTTAAATTTAGTTGGGTGTCAATGAACAACTTAACAATTCTCAACTTAATATTAAAATTTCGTGGACCTCAATTTGAATGGGAATTGACAAATAAATTTATTATTTTACAAATTTTATGTTCTATATTTGCCTTTTTTTGCCGATTCTGTTTGGCTCGGATTTTCTATGATGAAGTTAATTAAAAAATAAAATTTCTTTAAGTGCTTTAAAAATATGTTAATAAATTGCTTTAAATTTTTATAAAAATTATAGTTAATTTACATTTATTTTTTAAGTAAAAATACAGAAAATTAAGCTTAAAATAAGTAAGGAGTATCGAATATTTAAGAACAAAATACTTAAGAAAAACCTTAAGAACAAATTAATTTATAAGGACTCAGACTGGGAATTTCATTGTTTCTTGTAGTCGAGGTCCCGATGAGATTTCTATTGGTCCATAAGGCTCTTCCTGTTCAATCTCTATTGCTTGCCATTTTTTAAGTTCCAAAAGAGCATAGAATTTCTGCGCGGCTGTCCTACGTGTTGACCCTTTTGTTAATAAGTCGTCGAATGTTATCTAAAAGTATAATTTTTAATTTGGAATTTTTTAAAGGTCTATAGGTGACCAAACTTCTCTTATAAATAGTCAGATTGGGATAAAGGAATATTTGAAGAATTAGAGATTACCTAACTAAATCCAAGTTATAACAAATTTTCTAAATTTTAGCCTTACAAATCAATCCTCTCTATTAAAAACAAGATACCTTATTCTCGCTGTTTGAACGTATTTTAGTTGCAATCGCCTGTAAAACATTTTTCGTTCTGCGAGTAAATAATTCCTCCTCTTCAACTTCCTCTTCATCTTTCTAAAAATTAAAAAATAAATTATTTTAAAGCAATTATATTAAAAAAAACAAACATCAACACGAGCGCGTCTCTTTTCCGATTTCTTTTCCACAGGTGGTGGGGAAGTTAAAGTTTCTGGGACTGTTGGAACTTCCTGTGACACCTCCATTTCTGGTTCTGGAACTAAATTTTCGTTGGCTTCAACAGGTGCACTTTCAGGACGATCCTAAAAACACTTAAAAATTTTATTCAAAAATTATTAAACCTCTACTCGAGCAATTTCTTCCTCAACAATTGTGTCAGACAATTCCAAATCGAGACGCAAATCGCTTTCAGCAATATCATAGGGATCAGCCGCGTGGAGTTCCAAACGTGATTGGTATATCTTAAAAGATATTTTTCCATCACAAAAATTTCTAAGAACCAAAAAAAAACTAACGCGAATAATTTCAGGATCTAAAATCCATTCTGCATTAGCCGGCATCATTAAAATCTTTTCTAGTTGACAATTTTCGCGAAGACGCATTAATTGTTTTGTTGGTGGTGCCAAATCAAGCGGTTGGAGGGTGTCACTGAAAAGTCAAAAAGCTTTTCGAAAATTTCTAAAAAATGAAAATATGAACCATTTTTCACTTTAAAAAATAAAATTTTCTTCTAAGAAGTTTATGAGAAAAATCATAAAATCTTAAAAAAATTTTCCACCCCTCCAAATTAAAAATAAATATATACAAACCTATAATCTGCCATATTAGCTTTCATTTCTTCTCCCGTTAAACTTTTTTGTTCATCAATAATTAATTTGCGCTTTCGTTTATGTCGCATTCTTTCGTGATGTGGCTGCTGCTCAATTGGTTCCAATTGAAAACTTAATTCATTGTTGGGGACTTGCTGCATTTCTCCAACATCCATCGGCTGGTCTTCTATATCGTCTCCTGGCGCCATTGGAGTGGCGGCCGCTTGGTTATTGAGTTCTAATTCTCTTTAAAAATTAAATTAAAATTTTCAAAATTTTTCGCCTTTCAAACCTTCCCAAATCCGAAGCATTAAAAAACAAATCCAAATCTTCAGCAGTCCCAAAATCATTCAAATCGCTATTAAAAAGTTCGAATCCTTCCTTGTCCTTTTGTGGCGGTCCATCTTCTCTAAGAAGACTTTGATCTCGAGGAATCAAAAAACTTTCTCCTGGTGCTGCCACAGAATTGCGAGATTCCCTTCGTTGTTGTTCCATTTCTTCTTCCATTTCTTCAAAAATACTTCGAGAGCGAGCTCGTCTATCTTTCTCTCCAAAATCGTCAAACTTAAATTTGATAAATTAAAATTTGGAATTAAAAAAATTTAGATTAAAAAAATTTAGCAAAGGGTGGGCATGCAACGCGGTTATCTCTTTGCTGACATTTTTCCACTTTTCTCACCTCATTCATTAAAAAAATTTTAGCTAAGGACATTTATTGATTTATTTAAAAAGTTCAGTTCATTACGTGCTCACGCATCTTTACAAGTTACAAAAATTCAAAAGCCAGTTAAAACTGGCAAAAAATCGCTTACCCCTTCTCCATCTGTTGTCGCAACGAAATCAAGGCCTTTGTTGTAAGCATTTGGTCGTTCTTCTCGAAGTGTAATATCATCAATTCGGCTCTGATTTGCTTGAAATTCGCCGAGCGGGCCAAGATCAAAATCATTAATTTCCGGAAGATTGTCATAAAAATCAGTAATCACCTAAAAATTTATGAAAAAATTTAAAAATAAAAACAAAGAGATTACTTCAGGAATGTCAGTACTCCCCATTCTGTCTTCTCTGTCACGAAGAGCAAGGTCACAAGTACTTCCATGTTTAAAAGTCATTTTAAGTTTAATAAAAGCTTCGTTACAATCAGCCAAAACATATTTGGCCTTGCGAGAATAAATTCTGACAATTCCAAGAAGTAAATGTCCAGTAGTTCGCAAAGAAAGTTTGACCTAAAATTAGGCTTATTTCGGTAATAGTTCGGATGAGACCCCCCCCCTTTTTCATTTCTAAAAGTATTAAAAAATGGTCAGTCAGACTTAAGTTATAGAACTCGTCGAGCTGTGTCGAATGACACCAAATTCAACCCCTGCTCTTAACTTTGGGCCGAGATACAGACAAAAACCCTCCGCAAAGAGAAAGGTTTTGCAAAAGCGTCTCACGACTACAATAGGATTACTTTATGTTATAACTTTGTCAAATCTTGTTCAATTATGTTGATTTTGATGTCATTCGAATCAGCTCGACAAGCTATTTCGAATGAACTATTATTTGATTAATCAAATTTTTATCCCGAAAAATAAGCCTGGTCTACCCTGTTATTTTTCAATTTTCAGGGGTCTGTATCTCGGCCCAAAGTTAAGACCGGGGGTTGTTTTTGGTGTCATTCGACACAGCTCGACGGGTTCCATTTTTTAATATTTAAAGATGGAAAAAGGAGGGGGGGGGTCTCATCCGAACTATTACCCTTATTTCCTCAAAATTTATCCAGAAAAAACCTTTGGTTGAATAATTTCTGCAACAGCATCCTGCACATTTGTCTCATAAATTTGAGTTTTTGAAAGTTTCTTTTCCCAATGTGCTGCTAGCCATATTTTTGCAAGCGGGCCTTTTTTGGATAAGACAAATTGGGCATAAAACATAATTAAAGGTTAAGAAATATCCTCAAGTTTATGTAGACAAGTAAAGAGGACGTTACAAAAAATATATAGTAAATCTGAAATTTTTTTAAAATTAATTTTCGTAAAAATTAGAAGAAAAACAAAGCCAAAATTAGAAAAAAGAAAGGCGAAACTCTAGCCAAACCGCCATATTTTCCACACTCTCTCTTCCTTTTAGTTTTTCTTCTCATTCAATATTGGGACAAACTGTCATTAAACAAAACGCCAAATTTATGAAAAGCTTTTAATTCAAAAAGGATTTCCTGAGGAGATTTAATATTTTGCTAAAAGCTTCGTAGTAAAGACAATTGGAAATTGAATACATTTAAAAAATCAAAACATAAATTTATAAACTATCTCAATTTTAATGAACATCTAATCAAACAAACTAATAAATTAAAATTTATTTACAAAAAGACAAGTTAAAAACGGCTCCGATTCGTATTTATTTTGAAAGTCTTACAAATTCCTCACAAATCGACTTTCGTACTTTCAAAATTGAAAACTTACAAAATTCCGTACTTCCAAAAATTCCCATAAAAATTTTTGGGGCATACAGTGCGCTTATTGCAAATAGAATAAGTCGAATGATGAATCATGATAATGAAAATAAATTAGATTTTTTTCTATTTTTGTTATATAAATTCCAGAAAAAAACATAAAAGGAAAAAGAATAATTATGCTAAATAATCCAAAGTCTGCATAAAACAATTACTATGTTAATTTTATGCGCACAAGTGTCTACCTATTGAATATTGAAAATATTAAAGATTTATTCTTCCTCAATTTTTTTATTTTCCATAGAAATTTTTGAAAAAAACATCATTTTTATCCACTCTTACCACACATTATTTGCTGGCATATTATTATTGCTAAGGAACATAGTATTCCTCTTCCAGTTTTCCTCAATTAAGGGATCAATCACCAAATCCTTAATTTTCAAATTTTATTCCTTGAAATGACATAAAAAAAAGTTTTTGGCAAAATTATTATTAAAAATTGTGGATGATTTAAACCAAAAGCTGTCAATTGCAGACTAAAATCCGGAATTAGATTCTTAACAGAAAACCCACTCAAAAAGGCATATTATTCCTAAAGAACGTCGTCTGCACACATACAAATATGCCGGAAGTATTTTAGGAGGGGCTAAATGTTGTGTGGTAAGCTTAGATAAAAATGATGGATGTCCTTCATTTACTATGTTTTTCCTCATCTCGTTATGCATATCCCCCTTTTAATGAATTGCGTAAATTTTGAAAATAATTTTTTTTAATTTTTTAGTGTTAAGGCACTGAATGTTCATTCAGAAAAGATTTTTGGTCAGCATTGGCCTTTTAATGGTTTTTTCTTTGTCCGAATGCGATTTTGGAGAACTTAAAATTTTGTTAAATTCGAAGCAATGGCGGCATTTGGAAAATGACTTAAACAACTATAATAGACAAAATTTAGTTGCTAGAGGAGGAATCAATAAATTGAGATGGCCAAATTTTTTGGTAAAATTTTGGAAAAAATTATTTACTCCAAAAAATTTAATTATATGTCAGATTGACCCCATGGAAATTGAAACAAAAGCATCCAAAAGAAATATAGCAACAGGGAGAGGTGATGGATTCAGGCCTGGATGAACTAATAAACAGAAAAGAATCTCTTCAAATTTGTTGTAATAAATATTGAATTTAACGAAGTAAATATTGGGAAATATTTTTTTAGAAATTTTTTTATGGTAAAATGTCTAAAAAGGAGATAAAATAGGTGTTAAAGCACTCAGTTGAGGAAGTTCCTTAAACTAAATTAACTGGTCATTACTAAATTAACCGGTCATTCAAACTCGGATAAGAGGAAGTATTATTTTGAAAAGTTTCCTCGAAAGTCGAAAGAAAGTCGACCTTTCGAATGCCCCTCTAACAAAAAAATAATTAACATAAAATTTAAAATATATTTACATATATTTTATACCCTTTTATTCATTTGCTAATATAATTTTTAAGCAAGAAAAAGGCACTTTGTAATTATGAAAGAAAAATAAAATTAAAAAAGTATGAGCAAAAAAACAAGTCAGATCAGAAAATAGGCAAGAAAGGATGGAAGGAATATATGTATCATCCAAAAAATTTGAGAAGATATGACTGAAAATACAAAAATATTTTTAAATAAGTACAGGATTTGTTTTTTTTGGTCACTTTTTCATTCCTTTTGGTTTTGGAGGCAATGGTGGAGCTATTGCTTCAGAATCAAATGGTGAAGCTGTTGTTGATGAAATTGATAAATTTTGTTGGTTTTCACATGTTGGACTTTTGCCTGAATTTAATGCTGCAAGTTTTTTAGGAGGCCTTGGGGGAGCTGTTGCCTCTGTTGATGCTTCTTTAGTTAATAAATTTAAACGAGGAGGCAATTTTGGAGGAAGTTCCTTTAAAAAAGAAAATTGCTTCTACTAAAGTATAATATGATAAAAACTTACAACTGGAGAATCCACCGAAGATTTTTCATCGCCAACTTCACCTTGAGAACCTTCTGAAGGCAACTTCTTCCGAGCAGATGGCGGCTTTGCCAAAGGAAAAGCAGATGTTGGCGAAAGAAAAGATGGACTTGGTTCTTCACTTGATTGATGATGTTGAATATTTTGATGGTGTTGTGGAGGTGGTGCTGGAGGTTTACGAAAAGTTCCTCCAAATTGAGGGTGTTGTTGTTGTGGAAGCGGTGGTGGAAAGGTAAAATGAGATTCACCTATACATAGAGGGACAGGCGGCTTTCTCCTACTATGAGGATAGGTGGAGGAATTAACGCCTGGAGATGATGAAAGTGGCGGTGATTCGTTGGAGCTGTGTGAGAGGGCTGAAGGCAACATTGCGGCTGCTGCAGCACTTGGTACATATTCGGAAATGAATGCTGGATTGACACGTCCACTGCTAGTTGTATCAGCTAACCAACGAGGGAACTGGCCTAGAAAATAAAAATTGTAACAATGATGATGTCCATGAAGCAAGAATCAAATATTTAATCAAATATTCGCATAAAAACCCTTACCAGGATTTATATCAACAACAGCAAAGTTTTGATCTTCTGTAGTCATTAAAGAAGCTGGGGAATTAGTCGAAGAACCGGAAGGTGGGCTGCTCCAAAACGGGACATTCATATGTGATGGTGAGAGTAAATTGCCACTACCGCTATCCGTTGTTCCAGGTTGGTTTGGAGATCGTGGTGATGAAACAGAAGATTTGGTAGAGCTTTTTGATGCTCGAAGCTGGGTTGGTGTAGCGCTAGGTGCATTTGCGCTGGTTGGAGTTTTTTGTTGTTGTCGAACTCCTGGCGACTTCAAAGCCTCAAGTGAATGTTTGGGCTTCTGAAAGATAGTTTAAAATAAAATTATTAAATTTATGTGAGAAGCGAATCCCTGTGTTAAATTTGGAAAAAAATTCAGTGCCCATTTAATCTTCAGGTAACACAAAAATCAAACTAGGCAACATACCGGATTAGGTATTTCTCCATTTTTTGGTTCAATTTTGCTAGACCTATTGTACAGGTATTCCTCAAAATCGTCTTTGTCTTTAAAGCCATTGAGAGGGTTGATAGATTCGAAGAAGTGCTGAAAAATAAAAATAAAAAAAACATAAAAAAACATTTAATTTTAATAAAATATTTATATTTTGATCAAAAATAAGACACCAATAATCGCCCAAATCCACTAGTTTTCCTTTCAGTCGATCCGTCATTTCTCAAATCAATTCTCGTCCGACTTCTTGAATTTACTGACGATTTTCTTCTTACATTTAATTTGTGAAAAGAATTTGGACGAGAATATAAAAAATTATTTACACATTCTTCTTTAACAGAAAAATTTTCCGAAGGAGGCGCAGAAGATGATTTATGTAATCTTTAAAAGATTTTTTTTGTTTGAAAGAAAAGAGACAAAGAAAAAATAAAACACCTTTCAACATTAGAAACAGAACATGTTCGAGATATTCTGCCAGAAAACCGTGCAGAATTTATTTGTGGAATACTCACAACAGAACATTTATTCGCAATACTAACTTTACGATACAAACTTGCTGAAGAAGAAAAAAAATATTTTTTAGAAAACAAAAATTTCAACAAAAAGAGAAACCATGTTTCCGCCGATTTTCATTAGGAAACATTAAATAATCATAACCACCATTTGTGGAAGAAAAACAATTATTAAAAATAGGTTCAGCAGCTTCACAAAAAAATGAAAACATTGCAACCATTTGACCAAAAAAATTTTTTTTATAAAATTTGGAACAATGAAAGTAAAAATAAAATATCCAAAAATAGGGTAAAAGTTTGTTGCTGATCAAGATAAATTAAATTTAAAAATTAATTAGATTTTAAAAATGAAAAAAAGGAGGAGGAAAGTGGACGAAGAAAAGAAGAAAATAGTTTATACTTTAAAAAAGATAAACGTCGTTGGACACATTACGAGATTGATTGTAATGAAACAGGAGGAGTATATGTGTTTTCGAAAATGAAGAAGAGGAAAGGGAAGAAATCTGTTTTGATTACTAAAAAGGTTTTCTTTCTCTCTCTCACTCACTCCTTTCCGATTCTAAACCGGAAGAAGCAATTTAAATTGAAAAAAAAGAAGAAAAGAAGATAATCAGTGTGTAAGGCCATTTTAGTGGGCGGCGAGTAACTAACTACTTCGCCTTTTTCTTCTTCGAGAGCAATGAATTGTGCGGTAAATTTTAAGAAAGACTTAATGAAAAGCGTCAGTTGGCTACTTTCTTCAAAATAATCAACGAAGCCAAATATTGTTTAGAAAAAAGATCAATGAGAGCTTACTTAATATATACCACAATTAACGAGATAAATTGCAACGAAAAATAATAAAAAAAAAGTGATCAAATTGGAGGGGTAATCTATAATATCTTTTTTCTAATCTTTAAACCTCTCTATGATCCCAAAAACTTTAACAATTTAAATATAGTTGCAGAAAAAGAAGCGACATTTGCAATTAAAACTCACGAGATTTGTTGTGTTCTACTATGTTAAATGAATGATTATTAGGGACAGCCAAAACATGCAAATGCATGTTTTGTATGCGGATATGCCTTGATGTGGGAAGCCCAAAAATGGTGTTTTTACATGTGTCCGAGCACTTTAGGACCCGGTTCTTAATGCATATATTTGCATATTTCGGCCCTCTCGTGCATATTTGCATATTTGTCCATATTTTGGCTAATTTTGCATACTTTGGTCCATATTTCGGCATTTTTTGTAAAATTATGCTATAAATTGACCAAAATTTTAAAATTTTTTGGTCAAAAATTTTTTTATAAAATTTTTTATATTTTTTATAAAAATTTCTTGAAAAAATATTTGCGAAAATTTTTTTGGGAAAAATTTTTTCACAAAAAATTCTTGCAACAGTTTTAAATCCATTAAATCTTTTAGGAGTGCTATTAAAATGTAAAATTCAGGCTAAATTATTGTTTTTAAATTAAAATATTGATTTTTATAGCATATTTTAACTATTTTTTGTTGCATATTTCAGTGCATATTTTAGCAAATTTTGCATATTTTAGTGCATATTTTGGGCTTTTTCGGTGCATATATATGCGCATATTTGGCGATTTTCCGTGCATATTTTGGCTGTCCCTAATGATTATATAATTTAGAAGGAAAGAAACTATTTTTTATTACTAGCAATAAGGAAGAAATTTTAAACGTAATTAAAGAGGTAATTTTGTCATTACTAAAACACGTAATCAAACGGAGATGAAAAAAAACTAAATTGAGAATTAATCAAAAATAGAAAACATCAAAATTTTTAGTAAATTTTTTTTAAATTTTTTTAAATTAAAAAAGAAAACCCCCACCCGAATTGTCGGTTCCATTTTCAGTGGGTAAGGCTGGTTTTGATACATTTGAATTTCACGGATTATAGCAGCAATTTTGCGACATTTAACAAAGGAAATAATTCTTTGAGAGACGTTTAGGCGTTCATTGGTCTTGGATTTTTGGGGCAATCGTGGGGATGAATTTTTGTCTGATTCAGTTTCTGGTGTAGAGACATCAGTTTTCTGAAATAATAAAAATTAAGGAATTTTAAAATGATTGTTAAAATAAAGAGGATGCATTCTCAAGAATACTTATGAGTAGGGTTGTCGGTTCTTGGAAAATCTTCGGATATCCGGAACCGAACCGAAGAACCGAACCGAAAATTTCGGATATCCGGAACCGAACCGAAGAACCGAACCGAAAATTTCGGATATCCGAAACCGAACCGAAGAACCGAACCGAAAATTTCGGATATCCGAAACCGAACCGAAAATTTTCGGATATCCGGGACCGAACCGAAAATTTTTTCGGTGTTAAGATGTAATTGAGGATTAGTGGCGGGTATAAAAGAATTTGTTTGATATAAGAGATTTGATATCGGGTGATAAAAGGGGTTCTGAATTGACCACATACTTCGCCGCAGGCGGAAATTTTGAGAATTTTGGAAGTCCAAAGGACAGATTTCTACCTTTTTCAGCGCCGCAGGCGAAAATTTTGAGAATTTTAAAAGACCAAATGACAGATTTCTTCCTTTTTCAGCGCCTAAGGCGAAAATTTTGAGAATTTTAGAGGACCATGAGACAGATTTCTTCCTTTTTCAACAGGAAATTAATGGATATCCGGATCCGAACCGATATCCGAACCGAAGATTTTCGGATATCCGGAACCGAACCGATATCCGAACCGAAAATTTTCGGATATCCGGAACCGAACCGATATCCGAACCGAAAAATCATCGGTTCTTCGGTTCGGTTCGGTCCAGAACCGACAACCCTACTTATGAGAATGCTTATTGTTAAGTTAAAACCCCAGAAATTGAAATAATCCGGTTTATTGAATACAATAATTCAATTTTTATAAAAAATTCAAACTAATAACAATCAAAAATTTACCGGATGTTGATCAGTATTTGGAGAGGCATTTTGTTGTTTTTGTTGGTTTGCCTTGTTATCACGATTTTCTAGTTGTTTAAGACTTTCCAAGCGAAGAACAATTTGAGTCAAATAAGTACCTAAAAGGAAGATAATTAATAATAGAAAAAATAAAAACCAGCAAAAGGTACACACGGTGGATTTATTGAACGAAGACGATGTAATAATTCACTTAAATGTCCATCACCACATAATTGAACAAAACGATCATACCAAGATTTTTTCTCCTTCTCAAGACGCTAAAATAATTAGATTTAAAATTTTTTTTTAAAAATTTCTATACACACCGACTTGCTCTCCTCTAGACGATATACTGGCTGACAATTAAGAGCCGAGAAAAAAGCAATTAATCCATTAAAATTATTCAATTCTTCAAAAACAAACATAATTTCAAGAACGCGAGAAAACATTTCGGCTCTCTCGTCTAAAGATTCAGTTTCTACTATAGATTTAGCCACCCAATAGGTTAACTAAAAAATATTAATTTACAAATTAAATTTAATTATAATTTACATTTGTGCTGTGGTCAATAAATTTGAGAAGCTGAGGGCTTCTTTGGTATTTGTCTTGTTTTGTCCAAGCAGCATCCACTAATTCTAAAGAAAATTGGAGATGAATATAATAAAGTTCGAGTAAAACAAACCAAAAGGTTTAATAGCACGATAAAGACTAAAATGAAGCAAAGTAATTTGTCTTGCAATTTCTAATGGATGGAGTGTCAGCATATCATAATTAGCGATATCGCCTTCTTTTGCAAAGTGCCAAACGGGCTGTAAAATACAAATAATTTTAATATATTTTACTTTAAGGCTTATTCAAAGGTGTACGGGGAAAAAGATAATAAGGCAAGAGAAAAACGACAGATTTTATTTATAAGAATGGGACCAAAAATAAGAATAAAACAAATCAAAAATAATCCTAATTTGATAAATTAAACCTCTGGAATATTAGGAGCAAAACCATCAGTACCTCCAACTTGTAAACTGTCATTGTTTGTTGGTTTTTGTAAAGTTCCGTCTGCAGAACTTGAATTACGTTGCTTTCTTTTAATTACATCCTTTATAAATTAAAAAATAAAATTTTAAATAAAATATCTCTACTTGAATTTTAGTACACCATTTTTTGTGATTTGTTGTCAATTTAATTGTAGTATCTTTGCCGTTAAGAAAGTCAACAAGTTTTTGTAGGAGATCGGGGTCATTTTCAAAGTCATAAAAGTGATTACTGACCCAATGATTTAAAACACTCAAAACCCTAGAAAATTAACTAATTTTAGAAAAATAAGGAAAATAAACAAACTTGAGTTGAATTGGTTTTTGATATTCTTGTCGAAACCGGTGAAATGCTTGCTCTAATTCTGCCGGAGAAAGGCTTTGATAAGCTGGAGAAGTGCTGGGACCATCCCCCGAAGTTCTTTAGAAAAACAAATTAAAAATCAAATATAAATATACCGATTCTGTTGATGTTGGGTAGCTAATACAACACTCATATGTGGATCTAATGAAGCAAATGGATGTGGGGTTGGAATTGTAAAACGTTCAATAAGCAAAGAAAAAAGTTCAGATGAAGAACAGAATGATCGATATGTTATCATAAAAGTCTTGACAAATTCATTATCAGTGTATCTGCAAGAAAAATATTAGAAAAATCAAAAAATTAGTAAACCTTGGAAAAGTCAGACGTTCAATTAATTTCAAAATTGTGCCTGAACGGACAACAGGAATACCACTATTATGGGTATAATCTTCAAAAATTATATTCTCTTCTGTATCAGGCTCTGCATAGCGATATTCACAAACAGTAGGGACAATAAGTGGAATACGTTTCTCTTCTTCCTTTAAATAAGCTTCCAACATGCGATGCAAAACGCTAAAAATACAATTACATCATTGCTTAAGTTTAGAAAATGAGAGCAGACCAACGTACCGCTAGGCCAACGTACTTCTTTCAAAGTGGCGGATCCGGGACGCCTTGGTTGGTTCGATGCGCTTGATGAGCTGAATCAAACCATATCAAGGCGTCACGGATTCGATCATTTTGAACAAAGTGTAACCCTAGAAATTCCCTTGGTTGAGGTAAAAAAGGGAAAGAATCCCAGTAAATAAAAAAAAACTCATAAATTACCCAGCAGTCTGCATTTCAACCAAAGAAGTCATCCAAGCTTCCTTGTCTTCAGGTGTTTGACAAAATAAAGTCACAATATTCATATATTCGTCATTACTCCCCTTTGCTGTTGTGCATATTTTAAAAGCATTTTTTACTTCATCATCGTCTTCTAAATCAATTATATCTGATCGTCGAATATATAATTTATCTTTAAATTTGTATGAAGCAGAGGTTGAAGATAAATATTGACTGCCAGTAACATTTCCTTTTGTGTTGTGGTTTTTAAGCGATTTACATATAACCAGCAAGTGATCAAAGAGAAAAACATATCTTTCAGTCCAATTAGATCGAGTACGGAGAATATTATCTAGAAACTAGTAAAATTAAGATTTATATTAAAAAAGAAATAAAAAGATAAGGATTTGGAGCTTCTGGTTCGTAGCAGCAATAACAAGAAGTTGAAGGGAATGAGAGGCAGAGGTGGGTGGAACAGTCGGAGGTGTCAGAACTAAGAACGAGCACAGATTGTGGAAATTGGAATTACGACTCAAATTTGGTAAAAGGAAATTATTTATACATAGAACGATCAACTAGAATAGAAAAGACTCATTCCTAATTACCTGCAATTGTCGGTGAATTTCTCATCTGAAAAAGTTCTCCTTCTCTTATAAACATATTACACATATAACCAATTTCTTTGCCTTCCCAGCCCTCTAAAATAAAAAACATATAAGAATTTTATTTAAAAATAAACCAATGCTTCTTTGTATATGTTGGATAACATTCATATGAAAAGACCGAGTATTGTCACGCCGAATGCCTCGAGAATATTTTTCGCTACTTAAAAATAAAAATTTGAGTTAAAAAATTTAGAAAACATGTGTGGAGCAATTGGAAGTTTAAGATCTTGAATTCGTTTTCCAACAACATTTAAATACATTGCTGTATTGTAAAGGTCTTTTTGATCAGTTTCTTGTTCTGTTGCACCCATCATTAGCTTAGAAAAATTTTTTATAAATAAAATAATTTAAAAAACCTTAACATATTCCCCATAACATCTAAAATGTGCCATTACAGAATAAAGTAAAGAAGGTAAAACATATTTAACAGCCATTCGGAAAGTATGTCCGCCTGGAGTGCCGCTATAAATTCTATCTTCAATCTGAAAATTAGGGGAAAAATTAAGGGCAGTCGAGATTAAATGTCATTTTTGATCAGAAAATGACCGCCAAAAATTCCCGAAAAATTTTTCCCGAAACAAATTTCCGATAAAAACGTTGAATAAAAAATTCTTTAGAAAAGACTCAAAAAATAATTTCAAAATAGACTTAGAAACTCACATCAAAATACTCCAAATAAGTGGGCTCTTTCATCATTCTTTCAATTTTCTTGTTTAGCGGTTCTTTAAAAACTTCCTTAAATTTAAAAAAAATTTATTAAAATAACATTTTAACCAAACCATAAATTGAAGATAAACATCAAATTCACACCCCTCTGCCAATTCCCAAAGTCCCATTCCAAGCAATGGGGGACTTGCCATATCAATTCCATCCTCAATTGTTCGATGTATTTTTATTGTAAGCTCATAAATTTCGTGAACATTTCCAAATATTCCAGCAATATAATTGTCTTTAGAAGGAGAACTTCCTATTATTCCTGCTTCCAAACGACGCTTAAAAACATTAACGATCATGCTAAGGTCACGAATGAATCGCATTTCGTCTTGTTTGAATTCATTACAAAGCTGAGAATTTAAGAGAAATAATTTTAAAAAATATTCAAATAAAACCTTTTCATAATATTGACTTTTGTCGGATTCTTGAACATGTTGGTCAACAGAAATTGAGGAAGATATTGACGGCTAAAATTAAATAAAATTTTTTAAAGGAATGGATTCTTAAAAATATGAATATTTCGAAGTCTTATTTTAGTTTAAAAATGGATGGGAAAATTTACTAAAAAATATGGAATAAACTTGCTTGGTTAAAAGACATTTTTAAGAGGATTTCTAAAATAATTAGGGAATTTTTCAAAGAAAGTTCAAAATATGGGTAAAAAATCCCGTAAAAGATTATTTAAAATAGACCTCTCCATTAAAAAATTAAAAATCAAAAAATTAACTGTATGTGCAGCTGGAGAAGATTGTGTAGTGTTTGTAAAAACTCCTGCCAAAGACAATTCCTCTTCATTTCCATAAAGAATTTCGAGTAAATCAGCTAGCCCCTAATAAATTATAAATTAACCAAAAAACTTTTAAACAAACTCTGTCAGCATTTAAAGCAGTTCTTAATCCAAATAGACTTATTGTACTGCTTTCATCGAGAAGTTTATTTACATAAGTGCCTGTCCACTAAAAAATTAATTTAAAAAAATTTAATTAAAAATCCCCTCCCTTACATTTAATAAATCATGTAAAATATATTCCAAAACATGCATTAATTGAGAAACTGTTTTTTCGTCCAATTTCTGTCCCAAATGTTCTTTAGATACATTATAAATTTTTCTATAAAGTGCAGCCAGAGATTTAACTTCTTTTGATTTGCTTTGGTTGAGGCGTTTGAGGAAGAAATTTTGAACAGAATCTCGAGTCTCCTTAGATGGTATATTTTGAAAATTTTAATTTTAAATTCTTTTTGGTAAAAATTGGTTACAGGGAAAATTGATTGGGGTTAATATGTATTAGCAGAGACCAGATCAATACCGATATTATCAAACGACCACTAAAGTTCGGTCTCTAGTTAGGGCGGGGAAAACAGAAAAACGGCACATCCTTTTCAAGAATTTCAGAGTGAATTTGATTGATTGCAACGAATTAGGAGAGAAATTAGAATAACTTGAGTGAGAAGGTTCGAATAATAAAAAGACAATTAACAGAATTGCCAAAAGGAGATTGCATAAATATTCAAAAAAATTTTCAACTCACTTTCGCCACAAAATTTCCCAATGCCAAAGGGAATGTAGTCTTTACTTTTTGTAATAAATCTTCAGGATTTGTTGGGGCTTGTTCCAATATTTCATACAAAACTCTTGCCAAAATTTCAGAAATATATTGATGAGCATCCTTTTCAAGTCCCATTCCAGGGTGGATTTGATTACAAACCTTTAGAAAAAAATTTATTTAAAAAAAATCTTTTTAAGAAACCAAATAAATTCTTTCAGAAAATATATCCCTCCATTGTAAACATCTTTTCTGACATAACTTTGCTTGTTGAACAGCTGTAATGCTTGGACAAACGGTTGCAGAAACAACAAAATCCGAATTTGGACCAGAAGAAGAATTGGCAAAAATAGGGGAATGATTTGAAGATGAAGAAGGCACAAACATTCTTTTAAAAAGGCAAGAAAAAAATCTGAAAAAATTTAAGGAAAGGTAAAATGCCCTAGGCAAGAAAATTTTTATGAATATTTTTTATTTTGGCATTATGTTATTTATTTAGTTTTTGGCGTATTTAATAAATACAAAAGGGAATTATTCTCTAAAAGGATGTTTTTGTTATTGAAGCTCGATTCAAACCCTAATTTCTATTATTTCGAAAGCCAGTAATCTCTAAATTTTAATTATGCTAGCAATTTCATATTTATCAATGCTTAAAGTATTTTTTGAAATAAAACCCCATGGGGCTCTATTTTTCAACTATCCTCCAAAGTGGGGCTCTATTTAGGCGTGAAGGTCAAATTCAACATCGGGCTCTACATATTTCAAAAAATACGGTATTTAAAAATCTTCTTTAAAAATTTTTTTCGTTTTTAGTCCAGCTATTAATCAGATTTACCTATTTTACTCTCGTTTGGTACTTCCAGTTTTTCCTTGGGAAATCTATAGGTCTGGTATATTAAATCTGCAATTTGTTAACTTATTAAAATTTAGAGATTATTAGAGTTAGTTAGCAACTGTCACAGTTATTAAAAAAAGTTTTTAATATTTTTTTTTTAAATTATTTTCAAAAACTGAGAGATTCAAGCACATACGAATAAAAAATAAAAAAAAATTAAAGTTTTCTCACACTTGATAAAAACTACTTTTTTTCTTTTTAGGCGTTGTTATTAATACTGCAATTATCAATAAATTTTAAAATAATAAAATGACTTGTTTTAAAAGGTCTGTGGTTATTTTCCATTCATTTTTAGAGTTCGTAATCTAAAAATGATTGATTACATTCTTTTTGTTAATTATGAATTTGCGCGCACGGATTCCTTCCCTCTTTTTAATTTTTTTGATATTTTTATTTTAAATGATTGGAAGGAGTAGGTAAATAATATAATTTTTGAAAAAAAATGTTTTGATAAATATGTTTAATGGAGGGGGAGGTTAAATTAGAAATGTTCTTTTAAAAGAGATTTTGAGATTGGAATTACCGTAGCTTGGAAGGGGGAGGGTGACATTTTTACGAATTTAAGACGTTCACACCAGTTCCTTAATGTCTCTAATCATCGCTAGCGCTAATTTGTGTTGACATATCTTCAGTTGAGATTTGAAGTCAATGTCGCCAATCGTGAATAGGCCCCAAGGGTCTAGTGGATTCGATTACCAAAATATTGAATTTATTTTTTAAGTCGGCTAGTTCCTTTGATCCCCACCAACATAGAAGACAACAAGAGAAGTTCCCATAATGACACAAGTCGTAAAAATTTTAGACAAACAAAAAAAAATGAAAAAGAATTTAAAGAAACATTTTAAACTTAATATAAATTTAAAGAAAATGAGTCATTCAAATTTACAATTTTTGTTGCATTAAATAATGCTACGCTTACATAAAAATCGCGCGCGACACGCGACAGTCGCTAGGCGACATGTCGCCGGCGACAATCGTTAGTTGTGTGCTTACATAAAATCTGCGATTTCCGCAAAAGCGACTGTCGCAAAGCGATAAAACGCTATTTTTATGTAAGCACAAAGCAGCGACGTCGCTAGGCGACATGTCGCCTAGCGACGTCGCAAATCGCGCGCGATTTTTATGTAAGCGTAGCATAACAGTTAAAAATATTGCAATCTAATATTTTTTTGGACTAAAAATTAAAAAAAAATTAAAATTTGCAGTTTAAAAATTTTTTCTTTTGATAAAGAAAAAAAGTGTGAAAAAATAAAAAAATAAAAGAGTAGTTAATCAAAGCCGGTTGACGAACATAAATAATTAATTAATGATTAACTGCAAACATATATATTAAATTTATGAAGATTTAAATATTTTTTGAATTTAAATTTTCTCTCTATAAAAATTAAAATTAAATATACAAAGTATATCACATATATTTATTTAGAAATAATTCACAAAAAATTTAGAATGAGGGAATTTTTGTACAAAAATATTTTTTTTCTTTTTGGTGGATTATTAACTAAAAATTAAAAGTTCTTTTTTTGAATTATGAAAGGATATTCTTCCGAGAGAGTCAGTTCTAGATATTTCAAGGAAGGGGGGATTTGATAGAATAAACAAAGGATTTATTAGAATCAACAACAGTATGGTTTAGTTTCCTATTAGTGGTGTTTATTTAAAATAACTCAACTCTCATTATAATGCTACGGTTACATAAAAATCGCGCGCGACACGCGACAGTCGCTAGGCGACATGTCGCCGGCGACAGTCGCTAGTGGCGTGGTTACATAAAATCAGCGTTTGTCGCTTTGCGACAGTCGCTTTTGCGGAAGACGTCGATTTTATGTAACCACGCCACTAGCGACTGTCGCCGGCGACATGTCGCCTAGCGACTGTCGCGTGTCGCGCGCGATTTTTATGTAACCGTAGCATAAGAGGCAGAGGTGGGTCAAAACTGTCAGAGGTGTCGGAAATGGGAAGAGCCGGAGATCGAAACTGGCTCAAAAGTCGGAACTCGGAAATAAAAACATTTTTTCGGAAATCGGAAATAGAAAGGAAAAAAATAGAAAGGAAATCGGAAGTCGGAAACCCATAAAATAAGAGAACTTTTTTGTCAGGTAAATTAAATTTCTGCCTATTTTGGACTAAAAAAAGAACTTTTCTTTAGATTACATTAATTAGGGTAGGTAAATATATTTTTTAATTAATTATTTTTTAATTATTATATTGCATCGAAAAATTGTTGTAAATTAATGGAAAAAAGAAAAAGGATAAACAAATTTTTTAAAAATTTATTTTTTTGGATGGCCTTTCCTTTCTTTAATTCATAAAACCATTTAAACTCTAAAAAATAAAATTATTTTTGATAAATTTATTTTAATAAATTTACTTGAGGAAGATTATTCATAGCAGAGCTAATATTATTTGTGTATCCATTCATGCTCATATTTGCAGCGGCGGCAACAGCCATTGTTGGATAAGCCTTTAAAAAAAGGAATTTTTCTCTAAATCTATTGTTGTTAAATTTTTTTTTAAATTTTTTTTTCGAAAAATTTTTTAGTTGAAATTGTATTCAATTTAGTTATTAGACTATAAAAATTTATTTTAATATAATTTAAAATTCACCGCTGTATACATATCCATAGAATTATTGGTGTAACTATTGCCATAAACACCGGCATATGCTCCATTACGAAATGGCGGGTAATAGTTTATCACTTAATTTAAATAAATTAATACTTAATTAAAATGGTATAAAAAAAACACTCACTCACGTTATACATACATAATAATAACATAATAATTAAAATGAATAAAAGTTAGAGGGATGTGACAATACTAGATTAAGGTTTATTTAGAGGCTCTATTTTAATAATTAAAATGATTTTTTATGGACATTAAAACTTAAACTACACTGGTTTATAAAGCATTCTCTATCTACTAGAAGATCGAAAAATCCCTAAGACAGACAAAGACTTGGCCTCAGATTAAAAAACATAAATTCTTAACGGCCCTATTTGACAGTTCTATAAGTTTTGAGAGTCAGTTGAAGAGCAGTTATTATTATTTAGACTACTTTTCTAGCTACCCAACGTTATACATAATTAACTCACACAAATCACACTAATCAAAATCACACAAAAAATCACACACAACAAAATATCCCAAATAAATAATTCAAACCCCCTTACTAGCGCTAGGTGAAAGATTTCCCAAATACATACTAGCCAAATGTTGTTGCTGCATTTTAGGTTCAGCTTCTAATTGGGAACCTGGGGATATCCCTCCCCCACTTTCATTATTATTTAATATTCCCCCTTCATTTTCTTCTAATTTTATATTATTTAAATTATTTATTTTTTCATTTTTTATTGAATTATCCAAAGAAGAATCTGAAGTTGTTGAAGAAATTCCCCCATTTATTATTAATTTTCCTCCATTTGTGGAGGAACATGGAAGACGTAAACAATTTGTTGAGGATATACGCTTATCCATTTTTTCGACTTGACGAGCTTTGGCCCGGCGATTTTTGAACCAGACCTTTAATGAAGAAATAAAATAATTTTTGCTTAATATGTACTAGAGTTGGGGGCATGGTCGGTCCAAAAGATCGAGTCGGGCATCGAATTTCGGTTCGAAAAAGATTCGGTTGGGCCGGTCCGATATAAGTTAAGACCGAAAAAAATGGCTCGAACATCGGCCCGACTCGAAAACTCCAACCCTATTTAATAGAGACGTTTCTTCTTTAAAATTAACGGAGACAATAAGAAAATATTAGGTAAACACTAAAAAATATGTGGAATCTGCGGATTATGGTTATGGGAAATCTTTGGATATCCGGAACCGATATCCGAACCGAAAATTTCCAAGTACACAGATTTCCAGTTCCGGATATCTGGACCAGAAACCTTAGAACCCATTATTATTAGCAGTGCTGGGTATGACCCCGGGAGCTAGCTCCGGAGCCCAGCTGCTTTACTTTAGGGGAGTTTGGAACTAAGTAACAACTCCATATTGGGTATTTAAATTTCAGAAATATTACACAAAAATAAAGAGGTTTAACCCACACAAAATTTTAATAAAAAAAAATTAATTTTCGACTTGCCTGTACACGAGATTCTGGCAAACCAATTTTTGCTGCCATCTCTTCTCTCAAATATCTATTAAAAAATAAATATATTCATTTTTAAAATTATTATTATTTTTTACATGTCTGGATATCTTTGTGATACAAATTGCTGTAAAATTAAGGGAAAAAATTATTTTTTATTAAAAATTAATTCCAAAAAAACCTTTTCAAGTATATCTAATTGGGCTCGAGAAAATGTTGTTCTCTCCCTTCTTTGCTTTCTTAAATTGAAAAAAATTTTTTCTACATAGAAGGAAATAAAAATTTTTACCCAAAACGTGGTGGAGCAGTTGACCAAAGCCCTGAGGCGTCTGGCGAAGAAAATGGAAATCTGTGAAGGGAAAAGATTATTTATGTTTAACTTGATATAAGAGAATTCTAAATTATTTATTCCTAAAATATAAAACCCCTTTGAGGAAATCAACCTCCTGAAATAACTGGGAGGGATAGTATTGGGATAATTCGATGTGATAAACGAGAAGAGATAAATTAGAGCTTTAAACTAGAGGTCGGTAAAATCGTATTTGCGGGATCCCGCATGCGTGATTTTTCTTTTAAATATTTGCGGGACGGGATCCCGCGGGATAAATCCCGCAATTCAAAAAATGCGGGATTTCGAGACGGAATCCCGCAAAATCACGCGCGGGATCCCGCCCCGCACCGATCTCTACTTTAAACAAGTGAGGGCGATAGGATGAAGAGTATGAAGAGTAATAGGATGAAGAGCTATTTGAGATATTTTAGAAGGTGTCCATTATATAGGTTTCTTTTAAATTTTTATTAAATCAAATAAAAGAATTACCCATTAGCTACAGCCATAGCAGCTGCAGGTGAAAACCCAGCACTGGCAGCCGCCGCCGCCGCAGAAAAGGCTAATGGAGCTACAAAAATTCCAAATATTTTTTATTTAAAATTAAATAAAAAACATTGTGAGGAAGTTGTGTACGGATTAGGCCCTCCACTAACTGATTTAAAATAAGCAGCCATTGATTGGGCTGCTGCTGAATTTTGGATGCTGTAGCTGCTCATTGTTTAGAGCGAAGAAAGGAAGTTAATTTGAATAAAAATTAAAGAAAAATTTGGCGTTTAAATTTGGCAATTTATTAAAAAGTTAAGAAAATCTGAATGAAGGAATATTATTAATAAAAAATATTAAAAAAAGAACATTTTTTGAGATATATATAATTGAACCTTATTTTTAAATACCAATAACATTAAAATAAATTTTCTTATATTTGGTAGAGTTGTACCCCGACCCCGTTCCCGAATGATTTTCCGCGACCCGAAACAATAGGAAAACCCCGTACCGCCGACACACCTGCCCCCGAGCTTTATAACCCCGATATTTGGTTAGTTGGAGGAACTTCCCAAGTTTATACCCGTTGTTTTGTAGTACCTCTAAATTATTAGGAATTATTATTAGCCCCCTCATTATTAAGTTTTCAACCCAAGGGAGTATATAAAAATCAGGTTGGACTGTATCACTTAATATGTAACTTAATATTTACTCTTTAATATGCCAGACCTCAAACTCTCGATATTTTTGAAGAATATTTTATTGAGGACAGAATGTGCTTTATATCCCTTCCTTCCATTCATTAAATTCCAGGCTATTAAAATCCAATTCATTTAAATGTTTTGTGTAGCTATTTCCTGACGCACTTAATTTTCAGTCAAAAATCAAAAAATGCCACAAAAATAAAGGAAAGAAATAAAAAATTTTCTATTTATTTTATTTTTTTTGAAAAGGATGCGCTCACAAAACTACGTAAAAATCTTAAAAAATATATAAAAGGAATCAAAGCCAAATCTGTCCCTATTTTTATATTCTTTCCCCTCCCCTCATTTTAGACGTCAGCAAAAATTAATCCGAGAATTTTCCCAAAAATAAATTTATTTTATTAAATGATCTCTCAAAGAATGGTCATAAGGGAGGAGAAGAAAAAAATGTATTTATATTTTTAATTTTGTTACAAATATTTTTTAATACTTTTTTACGTAATGTGGCAATTAAATAAAGTAGTTTAGTGGTCAAAATGTTTTTTTCTATTATTATTATTTTTCGTTTTTTTTTTTAATTTTTGCTTTTCATTTCCGTAAATTAAATTAAAAAATAATAAATATCTTTTGGAGGAAGGCTCGGATCGGATTTGGCTCGGATTTTTAAGAGAAATATCTTTTGGAGGAATTAAAAAATATGTATATACAAAATATGTACATATATACAAATAAATATCTTTTGGAGGAAGTAAATACCTATTTTTTTCTGAGATGGAAGCTGAAAACTAAGGGATATTGGGATTAAAGATAGAAGTGAAGGGAGCGGATCTTTAAGAGAGACAATCTAGAGAATCTTTATCATTTATGAAAATAGTCAAATCCCTCCAAAATAACATTATTTTCCCTAATTTTCCCCAAAAAATCAGGATCTCTCCTTACAATAGTAACTCGTTTTTTTAAGAGAAAGGATCTGGAGGATGAGGTTGCTGATAGGAAATATTATTTTTTAAGATAAGAGAGTAATTTAACCAAATCTATCCCTAGAGACTGGGGTTGGGGTTTTCGAGTCGAGCTGACGTTCACGTCATTTTTTCTTTCCTCATTTTTATCGGGCCGGCCCGACCGAGTCTTTTTTGGGCCAAAATTCGATGCCCGACTCGATCCTGCGGACCGGGCCGGATCCGGCCCTCAACCCTACTAGAGACAATAATTTAAAATTAAAAGAGAATTGATAATTCAGACTGCAAGGGAGGGAATCTCTCTCTCAATTTCTCTCATAATTTTAATTAAATAAAACCTTCAAATATTTAAAAATCCTTATCATTTAAGAAAATCGTCAAATCCCACCAAAATAACGTCATTCCCCAAATTTCCCCCCAAAAATCAGGATCAGCCTCTAAAAATCTTCTTTAGCTTTCTTCAAAAAGAAGATTTCCGGAAAATTCTTTTTAAAAAACATTTTCTTCATTTTAAACAAATAAAATCCTCTAATGATTTCATTTTTGTTATTTTTATTTGGACATAAAGATGACTGACCATAACTAAAAGAATGAAAAAAATCTGTCAAGAAAATCTTCTTTTTCAAATAATTCCCTCTCAGATTTTACTTTATCGCCTTTACTTTCTTTGGCTTTTATTTAATAAAAATTCCTTCTAAAATATTACTGACGTGGCAAATTAAAAAAATAAAGGTAGGAGGATATAGTATGTAATTATTAAAAATATTTATACAGTAATTCACTTATCTTTAAAATATTTTCGAAAAATAAACTTTGAAAATTATATTAGAGGAATTACAATTAGGGAGACTTTTGATCCCAATTTAAAACATCATGTATGTATCATGGATCATGCTGACAAAAAACCAAAATTCCCGGTTTCGGAAACTCCGGATTCCCGAGAAAAAATAAATTCTTGATTTCGGGAATAGGGACGGCAGGATCCCTGCCTGTAATATTTTCGTGACGTGGAAAAGTTTATAAGATGAGAGATGGGATAGAACCAAGGCCCTATTCCAGAAAGGGCCCGATTCAAGACCTGCACCACTATCCAACCCTTTGATTGGATGGTGGTCAACCACAGTCGATTAATAATCGATCCTCAGGCGATATCACATTTTTCTGCAAGTACTGGCACAACACTATAGTAAAATAAAAAAACTAAAATCAGGAAAAGTTGGATCGTAAACACACGAGTTGTATCTAATATGTATACTAAAGGTATCTTTTAGAAATTTTTGTCATTAATATCCTAAATAGAAATAAATAATAAGGTCTATATTTAAACTTGAGACACTCTTAACTACTTGATCAGAATAAATTAAGTTTGACCTCATATTCATAAATTTCCTATGTTGTCCCCTCTTTACTAGCTTATTCTCAGATTTTTTCATTCTCGATAAGATTAGAATCTTTTCATTAATTAGAGGATTTCCTTATAAGATTTATTAATCTAATTATAACAATAAAGATTACTTCCCCCTCCTCCCCTCCTTCTTCAAAAAATTCCCCTTCAAAACTATTCTTTTAATTTTTTAAGTAGGATAAGCCTTAGGTCGATGAGTATATATATTTTTTGGATTATCAACAAGTGATGGGGGGAATTACCTAAAATTTTAAAGAAAGGGCCGTGAAATGAAGAGAAAAAATTATTTTAAAAGAGGGGAGGAAGAAAAAGATTACTTATGCGGCCCGGCAGAGACTAATCGGCGCTTAGGAGGGCATTTTCGGGTATTTTAGTCTGCCGGGATTATTTTTCTGTTAAAAATACATGTTTTTAAAGAAGATTGATTTGAGAGGCTTTTAAATGATTTATGGGATTAAGTTGGGGAATTTAGAGGATTTTTGACAAATTTTGGGGGTTTTAA